GCAAGAATTCTGGGACCATGGAGGATGAACTGGAAGACAGGCATGAAGTTGGGGCCAAGGGAGAAAAACAGACCTAATTAACAAAACTAGGTTAGGCTCTGGTATGGATAGAAGTTAAACAGACAAAAAAGGGTTATAGGTTGCTTTTTGGGCAGTTGGTTGCGGAGGGGGCTACCATTACTTCAGGATAACTAGATGATGCTATAGAGAAATCAGGTCTGGGGAGTTGGGGTGAATAGTTTTGGCATGTAAAGTTTGAGCGATATTTGGATAAGGTAAAGGCAGTCTAACAAAGGTCCTGAACTAAGGTGAGAGGGAAGCAGATTCTAACTTTTATGGATAGCAATGGAAAGTACGAGTAGATAAAGCTGCTTAGAAAGTTAATCGTTGAAAGTGAATTAAACCCTGGAGAACATCAACATTTAGTGGATGAATGGCCAAAGATCAGTATTTATAGGTGTAACATGGAAGGTAAAGAAAAGTACAATCAGCATGCACTTACTTCCTTTTGTTACTGGTAGTGAAACCTTAGCAGTCATACCTATACCTACAAAATATGTAGGTAAGAAAAACAAAAATAAGATAGGTGACTTCTTATTTTATTGCTGTTACTCTAGCATACATGGATATGATATTAGGACATGGCTGAACTTTTATACCCCATCAGAATATCTTGAATGGAGTTTCCTCTGGAGGACAATGAAGTCCCTCCTATCATACCTTTCTGGGTTAAAAGTGATTGAACTCGCATTTAAAAACTGGTTAACAGCTGAGCGTGGTGGCTTATGCCTGTAATTCCCAGCACTTTGGGAGGCTGAGGTGGGCGGATCACCTGAGGTCAGGAGTTCGAGACCAGCCTGGCCAACATGGCGAAACACTGTCTCTACTAAAAATACAAAAATTAGCTGGACGTGGTGGCAGACGCCTATGATCCCAGCTACACAGGAGGCTGAGACAGGAGAACAGCTTGAACCCGGGAGGCGGGGGTTGCAGTGAGCCAAGATCATGCCACTGCACTCCAGCCTGGGTGACAGAGCGAGAAATATCAATGTTCAGTGTGTCTTCAAAATGTTTATATTCTGTCAAGGCTCAACTCATTTATATAACCTTACCTAATCAGAGAATTCCATCTCAGCTCCTGTAGCACTTAAACATGCACCCCTCATTTGGTACTTAAATGCCTTATATAACGTTTGAATTTCTAGAGTTTCTAATAAAGTCTACTCCAAAATTATCTTATGCCCCATTGTATCTCAAGGAAAATACACTGCCTAACTGCTGACTTTAACATTCATGGGCTGAGAGCGCCAATGCCCTATAAAGAATGTACCTACAGAGTTCCATTTATATTACTCTCTTAGATTTCTTTCCCAGAAGTATGTTTTAACCTGGCTTTTTAGGAGCTCAAGAAAAGTTGACAATTGTACTTGATTGAAGGACTGCTCATAAATTTTCAGCTCAAGAGAAATTATTTTACTTACTCAAATTTATTTTCTAAATGCAGGTTTGAGGCAGCTAAATGAATAGTTATGAATTTGCACAAACAGGCTAAAATCTGAAAGGCAAGTTATTAACGGGGAGGGACTCAGAATAGCAATTTTTGTACCTGCTGAAATATTCCATCTTAAAGGTTCATTTGGTAAACAACAAAAAAAGTGTATACTGTGAACAAAGAGGTCCTTTTTAAATTTAAGTCTCAGAAGTCTGTTCAGATAAAACTACAGTAAGCAAATCATGGTTTAACATGTATTTTTCTTAGTCTTTCACGTATAATTTTTTTTTTAAAAGAAGCTATTCATTCATTCATTCATTAGCAACAACCAGTCAGGCATTATATTTATCAACTGAAGGTAAATGGCACAAAAAAGAATCGATGCATCAGGTAGCAGGCTGTCTGATGTCCCATGATTTCCCAACATCAAATAAAAAATATAATGCAGAGCCAGAAAAACCATCCAACTTTTTTAACCTCCTACTCCTTTCATCGGAAATGAGAGGTACGAGGTATGAGGTGTGAGGTGCAACACCTCAAACTGAAGTGAAACACCCGAACCAAGATTTTTCTTATATAGACAATTAAACTAGCACTTGTTTCAAATTTCCCTTTAGTTGGATGTGGCAACCTGGAGCAATTTCCTCATAGTACTATGAAATATAAATGGTGAGATTTCCAACTAGATCCACAAATGCCTAGTTAGAAACCAAGTCAACTACAACTGAAGTACTTTAGAAACCATTAATTAACTACCCACATTAACCCCACTCCACCAAAACTGCTCTAAAAGACCTTATCATTACCAAATTATTATTTTCCTAGACACAGTATTTGACAGTTGAGACTATGCTCTTAAATCACTCCCTTGATTATTACCATGGCTTCCAACTCACCCGTCAGATGACATAAACGTATTTTACTTAGTGATTTCCCCATGTTTCAGTCATTGCCTCTTTCAACAGTTGTCTCTGTTAGTTGTAAACACCCTTTCCCTGCCATTTCACCATTAATACATTATTTGGGTGGAATTCACAGGGACGTAGTTCTAAGAAGGGTAAAAAAGGAAAATCATTAAGTGAGAAAGAACAGATTTTCTCCTATTATGTAGTAGGGAATTATGGACTTACGGGAATCAAGGGAGTATTTTTAACAATTATTTAGAATGTATAGTATTCTGACCTTTTTCAATTAAGTGCTATCAAAACCAAGCAGAGTTGGTAGGACAGACGGGCTGGGATCCCAGTGATACTGTTGTCCCAATGTCCCAGTGACATTTGGAGAAAAAGACTATAACTAAGAGAATGCTTCATTAAATATACCTATCACTTTTCCTGAACTGGGGAGTCAGAAAAAATCTGAGTGCCTGCAGTGTAGCCAAAATATGCATTACAAACATGTTAATCATTTTGTGCTTCTAAGCAACAACTTTAGAAACTTTGTTTTTAGAAGGCAAGCAATTGTTAATCTTGGCCCACTTTCTTGCAGGAAGATGATGTTGATGTTAGGCCTGCAAGAAAAAGCGAGGCTCCATTTACTCACAAAGTGAATATGAAAGCTAGATTTGAACAAATGGCTAAGGCAAGAGAAGAAGAAGAACAAAGAAGAATTGAAGAACAAAAGTTACTACGCATGCAGTTTGAACAAAGGGAAATTGATGCAGCACTACAAAAGGTACCAGGCTTACATATCCTTTATTTTCCAAAGATGCCCTCTTAAAACCCATAGTTTTATTTATAATTAGGTGGGTTAAAAAAAATGTTTTAATAGCTTTCTTTCAAGTCACTGGAATGTACTGTTAAGTACACTTTGTAGTAGGCATACTTTTATGTTCTTTACTTAAAAAACAAATTTCACTTCAAAATTGTTACTAAATCGCTGCCCTGAAAATACTGTATTATAAATGCCAACCTGAATCCATTTATTTTAATATAGAAAAGTGAAGAGGAGGAGGAGGAAGAAGGTAGCATCATGAATGGCTCCACTACTGAAGACGAAGAGCAAACCAGATCAGGAGCTCCATGGTTCAAGAAGCCTCTTAAAAACACGTCAGTTGTAGACAGTGAGCCAGTCAGATTTACTGTTAAAGTAACAGGAGAACCCAAACCAGAAATTACATGGTGGTTTGAAGGAGAAATATTGCAGGATGGAGAAGACTATCAATATATTGAAAGGGGAGAAACTTACTGCCTTTACTTACCAGAAACTTTCCCAGAAGATGGAGGAGAGTATATGTGTAAAGCAGTCAACAATAAAGGATCTGCAGCTAGTACCTGTATTCTTACCATTGAAAGTAAGAATTAATCACTTTTTATCTTTTATTCTATTAATTTTTTTTTTCCTTAAAATCACTTTTCTTCTTCTCTTTTTTAGCTGATGACTACTAGCTCCCCTTCCCTCTCCTTGGAACTTACTTTCACTCCAGCTTTCTTACTACATCCATCTTTTCTGTGGTGGGGCCAAAAAAGGAAACCAGGAGTGCCACTATGTTGACTTCTTATTCCTTTTCGTAACAGTCTTCAAAACACAGCTCATCTAAAGAATGCCTTCTTCTTTTCCAAATAAGCATCAGATTTATCGCCTATTATGCAGTAACAGTCAATAAAATGTACTTACTGGGGGGGGGGGATTAATTATTCTGTCAGAACCTATTATAAAGGCTGTGTATTTCCCATAGACGTTTACAGCAACTATGTTAAAAACACACACACACACCCCTAAGTAGAATACATTATTTTGCATGAAGGAATGGCATTTCTGAGCTTTTTACACCTAAAATTAGGCTGAAATAGCTGAGATAATTAATTTGGAACCTATCAATTTGAGTGGACTTTTTCTTTAGTAGTATACCATTTTGGTGGTTGTTTCAAAGTCTTTCTGAAGCAGATATATTGAAGCGGGGTGGGGAAAAGTGTCACTCCTTTTAGAGGAAAAGGGGAGGAGCATGGAGAAAAACAAAAATTAAGGGACTTTTAAGAAAGACTGCCTATACAGTGTTGAGTGTTGAGGATATTAAACATGTTATTTTTCGAACGTAATATATAATTAAATTTATAAAGCAAATTTATGTGATCTTGCCTGAGCAAATTATATTTTAATAAAAAAACTTTGTATTAATAGTTCACAGAAGAGAAAACACTTTCAACATAGCTGAAGGTTTCAAGATCTAAGTGTATCAGACTTAGGGAAAAAGTGGAACAACCTTCAATTTGAAATTCTAGTCTTTAAAATGAGTTTGTAAATAATTAGCTATTATGTTCTATTAAGTTGTTTTATATTTTAATTTTCTGGAAGACAATTTTATTTTACAATGTGAACCCAAATAAAGTAACTTCTGTATTTAAAAGTCTTTCTGTATTTTAATACTTGTGCAACCAGATGGTACCCCTTTATCATTAGAACTTTTAAAAAATCATCTTTTCTTACAGTAAGCATTAAAAAAAAACCCAGTCAAGTAGAAAATTTTACCAAGTAATATGTGTATAAAAAAACACAAAGCACTCCCTTATAATATTCATCAATGTACATTTATTTATTGAGGAAACCATAATGAATACAAAATTACAGCTATCATGTGACCTTTTACATACAATGTCATTAAAGCAAACTCTAAACCACAGTTTGTAAAGTATTCAATTTACCTCAAGTCCAAGCTGCATCTCCCTAAGACACTGTTCCCATCACAGTAGCCATTTTAAGCCAATCTTCTTTTTACACACGGGTAGTTTCTGTAGAGAACATTTTTCTCAGGACGAAAATGCATCGAGCATGCATAAGAAAAAATATATATATATGTGCAAATACATTTAAGAGGGGTATCACTGAAGAAAATAAAACCCTGGGATTTGCTTATTAAAAGCACCAATTTAAAAAAATCCCTCAAAAGCTTATATTGTGACAAGAAAAATGAAGTCACTAACTCAACAAAAAATAAGGTTATTTTCAGAACCAAAATTATTTTTAATTAGGTATTGTTAAAATGCATTTTAAAGTGAGGCAGAGTTTGCAGAAAATAAAAACAAGACATCCTCACTGATTAGTAAACTCTACATCATTATTCTACACAACAGATAACTTTCTAAGTAGAGCTGATTTTACTGGCAGAGTATTCAAACAAATAAAATGCTATCACTTCTGAATTACTCCCCTTTCCCTCTGAAGGTACTCTGCTATTCCTACCCAAAACCACCCTTATGAATTAACTACTAAGATAATTTGTTTAAAAGATATATTTTACAATGTTTATAAACAACTAGTATTAAATTACTAGTTTTAGTATTAAAACCATTTTTGATATTAAAAAATAAAACTATACTTCTCATTTCTAAAAGAAACATCAAACCATAGAATTCTAAGTATCACCACACTAAGCTGTCTTAAAAAAAAACCAAAAACATTGTCAAATTTTTGTTTAAGTGCTAAATAAAGTCAGTTCAATTTCAATCTAAACTATACATTGTTTCTAACACTAATATCCAATGCATTCAAATCAACTGGCTCACCTTTTCTGCTTTCCATTTATTTCAGATTTAAGACCAGCGTCATTTAAAATAATGCTTATATTATCAGTGAAGGCTTATGGTAATGAATAAAAGAATTCTCATGAGACAGAAACAGTGCCCCAATATCTATTATCATTCATCTATCTATATTTTTTTAATAAAAATGCAATCTACAACTAACCAAAACTCGACAGGCTCTCAAGTTTCAATGAGTCCCTTTATATTTACATACCTATCATTGACTATTAAAACATAACATACACATAAATGTGGTGTAATAACTATGTAACTTAAGAAATTTAACAGTTCATGGAACATTTAAGATCAAGTGAATAGCACTTTAAAATGAAAAGTGATCAAAAGCAGGTACATTACACCCTATACCATATTATGTATGGGAATACATTTCATATTTCTCAATTATGATTTGCCAATTTTACCTTCTACATTGAGCCCTTCTATGGTCCATGCTCATCGGCTCACCAATGGCATACACTCAAAGGATTCCTCTTTATGGGTAACTATCTCAGGACCTGATTTTATGAGCTATGATTTGGTGCTTGCAGCATCTTCAGCACTGTGTGTGAAAATGAAGGCAGTATTTTTGAATATTTTTCTTTGTTGCAGAGATAAGCAGGAGTTTTAAAAGGATCAGCACATTTTAGAAATTGAATAAACAAAACTGATAAGATGCTGCTTTCATACATTCATCTTAACTCAAAATATGTACCAGTTAAAATCATCTATAAAAACACACAAACATTTTAAACTGGCAAAAAAATTATATAAATGCAGCGTCAGTTATTAAAATATTATTAAATCAGAAAAATACTGATTGCTACAGATTATGAAAGGTTATTTGCTGTACAGTTAACATTTCACTGATGCACATGCCTTTTATCAAAACATACTGCCTTATAACTTTTTCCTTTTTCAGCATATAACTTTTGTCTCAGAAAAAAACATAATAAAATTGTAACCCATAATATCCTTACTGAATTATTATAGTTTAAGAAAAAAATAAAGAAATTATAGTTTTGGAGGGCAAAGAAATTTTCTGTCCATCATATAAAACAGATTGTGAAGGCTGTTGAAGTTTCTGAACAAGTGATTTCCTAAATCTTGAAAACTGTGTAATTGTCCTTTCTTAATCTTAACACTTCTATATTTGGGGAAAAAATACAAAAAGATTTGGATGTAGATCAATTACTGCAGCAATCTACTCATCATTTTCTTGTCTTAATAAAAAAAAAAAAAAGTAAAATAAAAAACATTACCCAGAAATGTAAACAGTTGCTTTAACAACTTACAGACTTTCCACTAAGATGGTAGCATAAAATAACAAAATACATTTTGGGGAAGCAGTAGCAGATTGCCTTTGAATACACAACCACAAAAACCTCACAGGGACAACATTAATGTACTGAAATATTTATTTATATATGTCCTTAGGTTGTGCTTACCTGGTGCTTTTTGCAGCAGAACCTAAGGTGGAAGGTCTGGGAAGGCACTGTGAAGTATAAATAATTGCACTGTTTGCAATTAATAAAGATTTTAAACCTTAAATGAATCAAAATCAACAGCCTCCAATTTGTGAGTTATGATACTGAATTCAACTGAACTACTTCTTCAGTTCAATTAATAAATGCACCACTTTCCTAAAAGGTCATCTATAAAACAGTATCATGCAAAATACTGCAATTGCTCACGTCAATACCCTACTCTTAAAGATAACAAATAGCTAACTCCTTAACTATTAAACTTCAAACTAGAACTATATATCCAGATCTAAATAAGGGTAAGGGAAGTCACTCTAGGTTATATAAAACAATCAAAAACATTTCAAAATATCTATAATGAACTGTACTGCTATTTCCATCCTGTAGGTAATCTCAACATTTATGTCCTTGTACCTCTTCCTTTAAAGTATATTCAAAACAACAAATGGTGCTCCCCACAAATGACAAAATATATATTTATGAAATGTGTTAAAATTGCTACATTGCTCATTATTTGCAAACTGAAATCCCCTTCTGATACATTTCAAGACTTTCATATTAAATATAGAATATATGCATATTTTACACTGAAAAACAATATTTCAGGAGCACCAGTGAATAATACTATTCAACTTTGTTAAGTATCAGTTTTCTTTAGCTATAGCTAAAGCATATAAAAAATACTTACCCATTAAGCTCACTTTAAAAAAAATACAGAACTATGTATTATTCTATGTTAAATTAAGAAGCAGTTATGGTTTTCCAAGATATCAGCACTGTATTCCAACATAATATTCACACAAAGTATGGCATTTGCATTATGTGGAACATTGACAAAAAGATACTGTTGCAGTTCATCAATTTGTCATTCTGATGTACTTACAGTGCAATGCTCCTTGAAGGAACACAATCAAGGATGATACACAGCACAGTCCTCCTCACCCCTACAGAGCTAGTTCTATACTGGCTGGATCAAACCTGCACTTCAACAGACAATGGCAAGACAGACTGTATTTGCATGTAGTCTAATATATTAATATGCAAAGAGCCAACAAATATGCAAAGAGTAAAACAATGGATTTCAACAAAATATCAGAACTTCAGCATGAGTGTTAAAGAGTAATAAAATGACTTCAAGTACATAAAAAAATTAAGTTGATTCAATGATTGGACTTGTGCATTTACAAAACAAAGCTTATCTATACTGCTTAAAGAAAAAAAAAAAGCTTGAACGTTTCCATACCCCATTTATGTTTCAATGGCAGATGCAATGTAGCTATACTTTTTGCACACTATTCACTTTTCTATCCTAAATTTAGAAAGAAACACACTATTATATACATTGAAAGAGTTGCTTTACATGGAAAAAAAACTGTTCTTATTAGACTACTCATATTCACTATCTGAAAACTGTTTAAAATTAGTTATGCCGAAACAGTCTTGGAAATCAAGTATTATCAAATTAAGAACAGAAAGGTTAACTGTTATAGCAGCAGTACAGGTCTGAAACAGTGGTCATGTATAAAAAGGAAATTTCACTGTTAATGCAATGGAAGTATGCCAGAAGATCATTGTACACACATGCAGTTTTTAATCAAACAGAAGGAAAAAAAATGAAGATACCAGGATTACTTGTGCTGAAAGAGCCAAATACAATAAATGGAAAAGATCCTCCAATCTACCACTATACTGCAAGGGGGGAAAAACATGCCAGTGTTTAAAAACTCAATATTTCATGGGGAAAGCTTATATATTTGTGTATATGTATCTTAATTTATCATTGCTAAGAAATATGAATCCTTTAAATACCCACATATCCAACTTACCGACACAGGAGGTTTCATATCATTTATTGTAAAGCACAAAACAGGCATTTTAAAAGTGAAAGTATACATTGAAAAAGTACATTTATATCACAAAGCATCAACCACATAATTGCAAATACATTTGCTGGAATGTGTACATCTACACTAAATACTAAAAACAAACCAATTTTCATTTCTACACAGAAATATTAACCTCCTATCAGTAGTGATAGATATTTTGTACATTTGCAAAAAAAAAAAAAAACAAAAAAAAAAAACAAAAAAAAACACTATTTTAAACCAAAAACAAAATTAAGATCTTCATCAAGTCGTCTGCATCCATATATTTAACAAAGGTTTTTTTCCCCCACACAATGAAGCAAATACTGTATTGTCCACTTCTTATTATTGGCCCTGTGCAGAAGAGATACATAAGAAATACACAAAAAGTTAAAGAAAATCCTTGAAATGGAGCTAATTCAGGAGTGAATCCTTTAAGAAAGAAAAACTGGTTAATATAAATGGTGGTAGCTTCTTGCATGATTTGCAAATCCCTGGGGGAAGAAAATTTATTTTTAAAATCAAAGGCATTGCAGAAATATTCAGCACTCAGATGCCGGAAAACATTATAAAAAACAAACAAAAAAACCCAAACAATACACCGTAGTACTTCATTTAAATAGTTATACTTTGCCAGATAAAAATTTAAAAGGCAAACACTCCCAAACAGACAAACAGTAAACATGCAGAAAACAGACTGGAGTAGAAATCAACAAATTAGCAATTACATTATACCTGAGGTGCTGGAGGATGCTGTGGCATTCCCTGGGGACTTGTCTGGGCATAATAGGCTGCTTGTTGTCTATAATACTCAGCCCAGGCTGCACTATAATCTGGCTGACCACCTGGAGGAGCCCCAGTCGGAGCAGGAACTGCTTGACCTTTGAAAAAAAAAAAAAAAAAAAGAATTTTGTTGCTGTAACCACAATTAAAAGTCCAACACCTCATTTCCAGTAAAAACAATACCTTGCTTCTTGTAATATTCCTCCCAAGCCTTTGAATAATCTTGTGTCTGCCCTTGTTGACCTAAAGAAAACCCCCTAAATTTTAATATTAAATTACAATCATAAGACAAAAGCACAGAGGGTCAGAATTACTCCTGTTTTATTTAAAATATTCATTAGTAGTGTCAGGAAACTACTCTAAAATAAAAAAAAAAAAACGCTCTTTATTTTCTTTTTGCCTTATAATTAATCATAATGTTTAGTTCTAGAGCGTCATTATTAGTAAAAAAACAAAATCAACCCCAAATCCACACTGCTTTAGCTAAGGAAGGTAAAGATTTAGGCATAATCTTGATTGGATTCCAGAATTAAAAACAAAAAAACCCACTTAATTGCAATGATTTAAAGATTTTATTATTTTAAGACCTAGCCAAGACTTTTTCCTGATTAGTAACCTATAAAGTGTATGTACATGTACATGTACACACACACAGAGATTAGTAGTAAGATGTTAAAAGTATCAATAATTTATTCCAATTACAACACAATGGTATTAAAAGTAACGTGACAAGGAATAAAGAACAAGATCAATGAAACACATAACTCAGCTTTCACGATCAGGTCTTTTTCCAAATGAGATGACTTTGCTGAATTAAGAGACTAAAGAAATATAACAATGAAATGCAATGCACGAATCTTTGAATGCACTCTGAATTTAACAAAACACACAGACGACGAAAGACATATTCCTGACAACTATGGAAATTTAAATATAGTCTGTATTTTTGTGATACTATTGAGGGTATTTATTTTCAGACAGGGTCTCACTATGCCACCCAGGCTGGAGTGCAGCGGTGCATTCATGGCTCGCTGCAGCCTCGACCTCCCACGGCTCAGATGATCCTCCCACTTCTGCCTCTAGAGTAGCTGGGACTACAAGCCCACCATGCCTAGCTGACATTTTTCTCTTTTTTTGCAGAGATGGGGTTTTGCCGCGTTGTCCAGGCTGGTCTTTAACTCCTGGGCTAAAGTGATCCACCTGCCTTGGTCTCCCAAAAGTCCTGGGATTACAGGCGTGAATCACTGTGTCCAGACATTGAGTTTCTTTAGAGCCAACTGTCTTGTCTGCAACTTACATTGAAATGGTTCATACAGAAAAACGTACATATAAAGCACATACAGCAAACTTTAAAAAAATGATGAATGAAGCTGAGTGGTACCTAATTTCCCCAATTTCTGAAGGTATATAATTTTCTAAATAAAAAATTGAGAAGAGAGATGTGTTTTCCTATTCAGATGCTTTACTTAAGCACTATTTTATTTCGTTTGTAACTCACTTGGCTTTGTGAAACAATTACCACAGACAAAAGTACTGGAGCATGGACGTATAGGAAGCTGTTTTTATGTTTGTATGATGTTGCCAACAAGGCCAATTTCCTAGTTTCAGAAACCTGTCCATCACCATTGTAAAATAGGTGACAGAATCAAAGCAACTGAGTGAAAGAATTTAAGATTTATGATTCTTTAAAAATGCATGAAACAAACCCTCTTTTCTTGGGTAACAGAGAACTCTCATAGACTATTAAAAATTCTCATATTTTCCTGTCTTCTATAAAGAACTGTTAATCAAACAGGAACATTTGCCTCTTACAAGACACAATTCAAGCAAATCTGAAACAGGTTTCAATATTTAAAAAACTGCCAAATACTCTGGTGTAACAACAGCAATAAAACCACACGTTTTCTCTTACAAGCTGCACACTTGAAACCAAACCTGATCAAGGTAGCAATCAATATTCTTCAGGTTTTAAACCCACTGTGAGAGTTACTCATTTTAGATGTAAGATGGTAGAAACAGGCATATTCATCAAGAAAATTCCATCAATGTTCCCTTAAAAAACTACAACCTCTGCAAACTCCTATATCCCTGTGGAAAGCTAATAGTAAACACTTTAGACTTTAAAGAACTCTTTCCTTGCCCTTTCAGACATGTACTGCCTTACCTTGCTCCCCTTATTATTCTCTTTAGTTATTGGATTTTGTTTTGAGACAGGGTCTTGCTCTGTCACCTAGGCTGGAACACAGTGGTAGTGGTGTGATCATGGCTTAGTTACTGTTTGATTCAAGACAGTTGAGTTTACACTTCAGTAGAACATTATCTAATATTTATTATAGTTTTATAATTATAATCTATAAAGTTTAGCCTTACATTTCTTTCATCCAAAAGATAAAAGACTTGCTCTACAGTTAGCCTGTAAGATTTTATTATAGCCTAAGAGTCAGCCTTGCTTGAATAGATTTTCACACTCAGTTGTCTTCCTATATACTTGTACCTTTCCTACAAGTCTCACTCTACCCTCCTTTAGGCTTAAGGTACCAGATTCTTAAGGGTTCAGAGTCTACTACATCAGTCCTTATTGTAAGGGCCTTCCTTAAGTCAAACTTTTCTCAAATGTCTTCACTTCTCCAAAAAAGAATTACTCCTTTCTACTTTGAAACCCTGCTTGTTCTCTTAAGAGTCTCTTATAAAAAATCCTTCTATTCTAGCTTTAAAAATACCCATCTTTAGATTGCTGCCATTCCTTATAACTCTCTGAAATCTCATCAAGATTTTCTCTACTTGGGAGGCTGAGGCAGAAGAATTGCTTGAACCTGAGAGGTGGATGCTGCAGTGAGCCGAGATTGTGCCACTGCACTCCAGCCTGGGCGACAGGCAGAGGTTCCATGTCAAAAAAAAAAAAAAAAAAAAAAAAAAATCTTAGTTTGGTGTTATCCTGGGGAATTTAGAATTGTTTTAAAATATAAAGCTAATTTTGGAAAACTTAACCTACATCTGTTTTCAACTAATCTATTTTGCTCATAAAATTAACAGGTGAGGCTGGGTGTGGTGGCTCACGCCTGTAATCCCAACACTTTGGCAGGCTGAGGCAGGTGGATCACCTGAAGTCAGGAGTTTGAGACCAGCCTGGCCAACATGATGAAACCCTGTATCTACTAAAAATACAAAAAAATTAGCCAGACGTGGTAGCGGGCGCCTGTAAGCCCAGCTACTCGGGAGGCTGAGGCAGGAGAATTGCTTGAACCTGGGAGGCGGAGGTTGCAGTGAGCTGAGATCATGCCACTGCACTCCAGCCTAGGCGAGAGTGAGACTCCCTCTCAAATAAATAAATAAAATTAACAGGTGATTATTGTGGTACTACAGAAAAATGATAGAAAAGGTGGGGTAAGGAGGTTCTTTAGTCATGCAGTATTATTATTTAATTATTTCTATGCCATGTTTTCCTACAGAGGATTTAAGACAGTATAGCATAGTATCTCTAACTGGCAGGGAAATGGTGAAAAAAAAAATTAAAGACAATAAAGACAATTTCTTCCCTTAACAATGAAAATTAGAATTTCTTCCCTTAACAATAAAAATCAGAATTCAACCCACCCACTCATTTTGAGTAAAACATAAAAAAGTAAAACATAAAAGACTAAACAGTAAATGTATTAACGGCCATATTACAAATAATCAATAAGGTAAAATAAAGCACAGAAGTCAAACTCATTCCTCAGTAATTAGCTAAATCCATTAACAAGCCTTTATTTTTATCTACTTAATAACTTAATAACTAGGGACCATATCTAGGGAACATTACCCATTGAGAAAATAGAAGTTGAAGATTTTTAACCCAAACATGTGATCAGGTCTCACTGTGATGCCAAGGCTGGCCTCAATCCCCTGTGTTCAAGGGATCCTTCTACCTTAGCCTCTCTAGCAGCTGGGACTACAGTGTGTGCTACTGCATGTGGCTCATGCTCAAGTCTTTTAAAATGGTGACGCTATTTCACTGAAGTTAAGTTGATTACAGGTCCTGACCACAATGTTGTCAGGACATGATTATTTTTTTTTTGAGACGGAGTCTCGCTGTGTCCCCCAGGCTGGAGTGCAATGGCGCGATCTCGGCTCACTGCAAGCTCCGCCTCCTGGGATCCCGCCATTCTCCTGCCTCAGCCTCCTGAGTAGCTGGGACTACAGTAATTTTTTTGTATTTTTAGTAGAGACGGGGTTTCACCGTGTTAGCCAGGATGGTCTCCATCTCCTGACCTTGTGATCCGCCCGCCTCGGCCTCCCAAAGTGCTGGGATTACAGGCGTGAGCCACCGCGCCCGGCAGGACATGATTATTAATAGCATCCCTATTCATTCTAAAAAAGATCCCTGTTCAGAAAATATATTATGTAACCAACCTTAATCAGAGTATGCTGTTTTTAAGTTAAAAGTTTCTTTTTGCGGAATTTCAGCTACTGTAGATCTGCCTAAGCTACGTCACAAAAACATATATTAATCTGTTATAGTCTCAGAAATAGATGGAATATGACTCTCCTAGGAAGCCACTCTATGAGGAAAAACAATTTTTTTCTTTCTTTAAAAAGAAACCAGTTGTGCAGAACATCTTTATCATCAAGTATATATAATTTTACACCTAGAAGATTAAAATCATCACCCTTCTGGAAATTTTTCTTTCTGCGGAGAATGAGAAACATTCTTTGGCAAAGAAAACATTGAAACTTACACTGAGAATCCCAAGTAGACCGATCTCTTATGACAAAACTACCACCTATAGATTCTTTTTCTGCTAGTGAAAGATAACCAAGCTTACCAATTTAGTTTTCGTTTGTGACATCTAGCTGTGGTAGGTAATAATTTTTAAAGAGCAAAAGCAGTTGAAACATAGTGATTTGTCCAGAAGTATAGTACCAGGTTCCAAATGGTCCCTAAAGAGACAAATTTGGGAGACAAGCTTGGGACTCAGACCCTCTTGGAAGCCAGATTCTGGTTCCATCACTTAGTTACTTTCCCTCACTACAGATTACTTCTTACCTGCTTATCTTGCAGCAAAAATAATGGTATCACACACAATCCATTTTCACCTGACACATTAAAATTTAACCTTATGTCACTCAGACTAATATATATAACTGTCATTGTCAAAAGTATAGTAATGTTAATACTGTATGTGCCAGTGAGGAAATTTCTAGTTTCAATTAATAACTGGTTGACAAATGCAATTAGAAAGAAAAATATTTCCTTGCTATATAACCACAAATTTAAAAACTATAATTTGCAACTGTCTTGGTATGTTTACGAGTCCAGTGATTTTATTCAATTATTCTCTTTCTGAAGAGAATACCTTGTGTTTCAATTTAATTAAGTATGTATTTTCAAGAAATGTATAAAACATACCCATTTTCTTGTAGTACTCTTCCCAAGCCTTGGTATAATCAACCTGTCCAGCTGGGGCTGGATTCTGCTGATCTCCTTGATCAAGCAAAACAAAACAAAACAAAACAAAACAGAAAAACAGAATTAAAGTTTTTAAAAGGCAATTTTAGCTGTTTCCTTGGGTGCAGGAGCTGGCAGGGGCCTGCAATGTGACAGTGAGGGGTAGGAGGAAGGTACTATGTGGTGGTGGCATCCCTACTGGTGCCAAAGATAGAAGGTACTGGGGGTACAGAGGTGGTGGACAGAAAAGAAAACCAACCTGTTTGGAAGACTGGTTATGTCGAACATATAAGTAAATGTATGTAAAATAAGGAGATACACTGAGGATACCAGGTTTCTCACCATTTGTAAACAAGTACAGAAAAGGAAAAGGCTTGAAAACCCCAAAATGCTGAAATGAATGTCGTAATATGAACATAGTTTTAAAAAATATATACACATATCAATGTTTATGTGTTTTTTGGCATGTGTATGTAGGTATGCATGTATGTAAATATATTTCCTAGTTCTGTCTGCTGAAAGAAGTTAGAAGCAATTACACCTCAGTAGCAACAAGCATAGTCAAGCCTCGTTTCTAACTACCATACTCTACTAAAAGGAATCAGAGCTCCTTGAAGAAATAGCTGACTTAAGGGTTGGAGCCCATAAAACACAAAATAACAATCTCACTGTGCCAGACAGTATGGAAGTGCTTAAAATAACGACAGATATTTCAAAAGGATATAGGCACCACCCTGAATATACTCCCTGACTGGCCAAATCTAGGATAATCTGATTATCAAAATTATAAAAATATTCAAAAAATATAACCCACTGCAAAAATCAGAAATCCATAATGATATAAAGAGCTTAATATATTAATGTTGACTTACTGATTTGGAGGGCTGTATGATGGTTATATATTTTTGAAGAAGTACCCAACAGGACATTGTGTCTATAGTTTAGTCTTAAATGATTTCTTTCAGAACTAATTATACTGGATATAATTAGTTTCCTTCAGAACTAATTATAATGGATATTTAAAATAAATACACACCCATACACTTGTATGATATAGACGGTATTAGAGTAAACAAGGGATAAAACATTAACAGCTGGTTATATGGGTGGCTCCTGGTATTCTTATAACTTTTATGAAAGTTTGAAACTATTTCCAGGTAACAATTTAAAAAAGGAAAAGTCTGCTCAAATTATAATTAAATAATGTTAGAAATTTTAGGTATTATACAGTGATGTACTTCATATATAATTCCAAGCACAAGTTTTGACTTTCACATACAAGTTCTTTAGTTACCTTGTCCATTAGTTTGAGTTGTAGTTGGTGCACCTGCAGGGGCTGCTGGTGGTGGCTGTGCTTGCTGTTGATAATAGTGAGCATAATAAGCAGCCCAAGCTGCTGAATTTGGATCCGTTCCTGCCTTAGCTAGAATAAATGAAAGTTCAAGGTTTGCATGTTGAAGTCTGTAATTCTCACACGAGCGCGCGCGCGCACACACACACACACCCCCAGCTCTCTGGCAAATATACAGCTCCCAAAATTAACTAGAACATTAAAAAAAAGTACATGAAAACTTTTATATTTTCTATTATTTTTGTTGTTACCATCAGCTTTTATTAAAGAAAACCAAGGCTCAGAGACCAAGTGACTTTCCCAGGTTAAAAACTACTGAGTTGCATAACTGGGATATGAATAAAGGTCTTTTGGCTCCAAATCCAATGCTCTGTCTCAAACCATCCTGTGCCCTTGTTTTTTTCTAAATTGGTTTCGCCTCAAGCACAAACAGCTCTATCTGGAAGATGACTTAAGAAAAACATTTCTAGGGGCTAACCTGCATAAGAAAGAAACAATTATTTTAGAACAATGAACTTTGTCCTTATTTTCAATGAAGAGAAAATATAAAAATCTTAAAAAAAAGATTAGCCACATTTCATCCTATTTCACATTGAATGTTATAAACTTGATGTCATCCTACTTGAAATTCTTCATTCTCTAGAATCTTCAGGATGGTCAAAGCTTAAGTACAGCCTATCATTCAACATCTTTAACAGTCTGAATCCCCTGGCTTATCCTTTCCATTTCAGCCTCACCTCTCCCTTCATTTGTATCTCTTTAACACCCAAGCTCCAGCCACAACACAGTGCTTGTACTTTTCAGAAATCACTATGCCCATGTCTCAGCTTTTAGCTATGTTATGTTTCCTCTACACTTGACTGACCCTCACTCATCTCCCACATCAACTGAAGTGCAAACAGTTTGAGACCTCTCAATCTTCTAGAAACCACAAAAAAACTTGATTCTGTCCTTTATACTAGGAATATCATACAATTAAAACTTTTAAATTTTCTATTATGCTTTCATTCTGAACAGTAGCAATTCTCAGCTGCTTAACAAAGGTTAGTCAAGTTTGAGAAAAAGGAGTGAGAATTTGTAGAAAAAGAAAACTACAAGGTAATATAATTGTAAGGTGTTATTAGGACACCCTCCAAGCTTTTCTCAATTGCCCAATGTACTGCTTTTGTATCCTGGATGTTTACATATCTCAATAGTGTCATTATCGGTATTTATTATTTTTTTTTGAGATGAAGTGTCTCACTCTGTTGCCCAGGCTGGAATGCAGTGGAGCGATTCTCAAGCAATTCTCCTGTCTTAGCCTCCCAAGTAGCTGGCATTACAGGCACCCGCCACCACACCCAGCTAATTTTTGTATTTTTAGTAGAGACAGGTTTTCGCCATGTTGGCTAGGCTGGTCTCCAACTCCTGACCTCAAGTGAACCGCCCGCCTCAGTCTCCCAAAGTACTAGGATTACAGGTGTTAGCCATGGCGCCCGGCTATTATCTGTATATTAATCAAGAAATCTAGGTATTTCACTTTACACTATGCCTGGACAGAGAATTTGAGATAAAACAGACTTTAGGAAGTGTTATTTCTACACCCAAACGTGTAAACCATACTGAAGTACCAGTCTCACAAATAACTAGTATGTACTAAGAATTTACTAAATATTCACTCAACCCAAGATTCATTCATTGATCAATTTATAGATAAGAAAACAGGCTTAGAGGAGTTCAAAAACTTGCCTGACATCTCACCATTAGTAAACTGTAGGACTAGGACTGATCTAGGTCTATTTGACTCTGAAGTCTAAATTCTTGACCACTACATAAATCCGTAACAGACCACTCTTTTTTTAAAGAAATATTTTAGTTCATACATTAAAACGTTACGTCATTCTAAGTCTAATATAAGCAATATCCACCCCAGAGACCCAGTAACCCTTTGATAAATCTGAGTGGGGCCAACCAGCTGGTTTTAAATGGGTTACTTCTTGCCCAAAGGCCATGCTGCAACCACATTCACTGACCAGCTTTTATAGTAGTGACTTCACTACTACTCCAAGTGGGAAACTCAACATGTGATACAAAGACCACTTCCACTTCTTATTCCCATCATTTTTTCTCAATCATGCTAACCACCCAGTAGTGCTCAAAAATACAATCCTGGCAGATCCAAGTTACCCAGTATGAATCTGTCTCTTAACCTACTCAAACTCTTCAATCTCATTACTTAATTATACCATCCCAATTAGCCAACAAGAGGAAAAGCAAAGCCCTTTCATTCTCCAAAAATTCGTGTTTACAGTATTATATTCTGTACCTTGTGAGCCCTTCTATCAGTGTTGGTATGCTGGGAGTGCATTCTTTTGCTATAGAATACAACCCCAACTTTGCATACCTATATCCTAGCACAACTCAAGTCATTCCTTGAATTAATGGAAGTTGTGATTATTTGGTAACTATCATGCTGTGTCATCATATTCCAAACAGCACACTTCCTATGAAATTAACCAAGTAATTTCATTTACATAAATTACTTCAAGTTTTTTTGGGATAAATATATTATGTGTAGAAAGTAATCCATAATTGAGTATATTTTCCTTGAAACTACTCTGGTGAAAGAGGCCTAAAAGGTAGGTAGCAGGTGAAAAAAAAGGATCATAAATAAATGTTAACTGGTTTCAAAGAATGACTCTTTGACCAAGATGGAAAGCAAACTACAGGGTATGGAAAGACGCCAGAATAGTACAGGATATAATAGATACATATCGAAAATCCAGATCTGAATATAGAAAATAATTAAATGTATTTGGGTTTTAGCATGCAGTTATTAAATACAGGCCTGATTTTTACTCACATGAAGTTGTCATTATGAGGAGTACTAGAACCGGTATCTTATTTGACAATTTGGGAGTTTAATGCCCAAATACTTAACACTCTGTAAGACTGTTTTATATATACATATATATATATTTTTTAAGAGATGGGGTCCCATTCTCTTACCCAGGGGAGTGCAGTGGTGCGCCCACAGCTCAATACAATCTAGAACTTCTAGCCTCAAGCAATCCCCCCGCCCCCCCTCAGCCTTCTGCGCAGCTAGAAATACAGACACATACCACCCTGGCTGGCTAATTTAAAACAAATTTTTTTAGAGATGGGTCTTGCCACGTTGCCTAGGCTGGTCTCAAGCCTCAGCCTCGACTTCTGAACAGGTGGGATTACAGACGTGAGCCTCAGTGCCCGGCCCCATCCCATAATTTTCTAAATAAGTAAAAACTATTTTTTCATAGATAATGTCACAATTAACACACTACATATTTGATAGCACTGGTCCAAAATAGTCCATAGATCCAAAATCTATGACACTGTGCTCTTTCCTGCAGCTTTTAGTTTTTATCATTCTGCTATATCGACTCATAAGAAAGCCAAATGCAAGCTGAAAGGAATTTCATAAAAGCAGAGATCATATTCATGTCAGTTCTATATACACTGGGGTAGAGGCAGTGCCTAACGCTGTTGAAAGAGTAGAGTGAGTGAAGGTGAGGCATACAAATGTAGAATCAACACTAGAAAATTTAATAATGTAACACGAGTGAAAAACAATACAGCTAACACACAAATGATAAGCATCTTTTTACCTGGATCAGGAGGAGCCTGCTGCTGCCAGTGTGGATATGCATTTCCCCATCCCTGGGGAGCGTATGGGGCTGGAGGACCACTGAGAAGAAAATTCAGTATAAAAATGTAGTCCAAAAACTAGAATCTTTGGGGGAAAGCCCAGAACTAAACCCAATACTTACTGAGGAGCTGGGCCTGGTGGTCCAGGATTATAAGGTGCAGGGTTATATGGTCCCATTGGAGTTCCAGGCCCTGGAGGCCCAGGAGGTCCATGGGGGCCTGGGACGCCATGGGGCCCATGGGGTACAGGTGGCCCTAAAGGATTTACTGGGCCCTACAAAAAAAAAAAAGGAAGACATAGAAAAATCAGCAAACCAACTCTATGGACAAATAATCTTCCATTTCTACCCTCTTATAGTCACAAACAACAAATTTTAGGTTTTCCTTCCTTTCCTCATTCATTTTGCAAAAACGATTTTATCTGCCATAATGACGAGACATGTGAAATTTACTAAAATCAATAGCGGTAGCAATTAAATGCAATTTAAATTAAATTAAAATTAGCAATTAAATTTTCTTTAGCTTGTCTGCGACAGCAGTAGATCCCTTTCCTTTTATAATTCTTTCTTTTACTATCTTTTTTCATCTTAATCACAGAAATCAGGTCTTTATCTTCAGCTCTTCTCTCTACATCTACTTGCCTAACATAAGACAACCATCTTGACAATATATTCCCAAACTGCTTGGGTCCTATATCATCAATTGTCTTCTGAACACTTCATTGATAATGTTAACAGCTAGTTGGTTCACTATTAAACCAAACTCCACCTCACAACCTATTTCTGTCACTGAAACCCCATTCAGATCAATAATTTATATCCTTTTTGGCCTTTCATGTATCATAATTCTAAACAGCACAAACATTCCCTTTTTAAGTCCTTCAATAAATCAGGATATTTTATATCCTTATCATGCATGCATGCCACATCATAATTAATAATGCTTAACTGATTTCTGTTTTGTTAAGCCAACAAAGACATTACACTTAACTGTCCTAAAATGCTCCTTCTGAGTAGTTAACACAACCAGGCGACATGCTGGACAAAATGGTAACACTATATTTTGTTGTAAATTTCTCACTGCAAAATAGGGAAACTAAACTTCATGACCTTTGAAGTTATTTTTATTAACTTGTCTCTTTAAGTCTCCAATTGCTGTCATCTCTCACTTATTATCCATTATCTATTCTTTCCAAATAGTAAAAATAATACTGAAAAAGTAGCAACATTTTTTAGGGCTATGTGCCAGGCATTCTTTTAAGTGACACACAGGTGAACGTTCATTTAATCCCTACAACTCTATGAAATAGATACAATTATCCTCATTTTATAGGAGGAAACCAAGGCACAGAAAAGCCTGAGCAACTTCTCCAAGGTCACAGACCCAGTAAATGATTCAGAGAAAAGAGTCCGTGCTCTTAATCACCACACCAAATTGCTTCTCTAAAACAATCTATCTTGTTTTACCATGAATCCAACAGAAATCCTGATCCATGCATGTAAGGCTAATACTGTAAAATCAAAAACCAAGATGTGCTATTCATTTTTTTTTGCTATGGCATCAACCTCCTATCATTACTCCACAAACATCTTCATTTTTTGAACAATTAAACTATCCATACAACAGAACTTACAATGTTTGTGTACATTTTATAAGATGTTCCTTAAGCATCTTTAGTACATCTATTTTTGTCTTCCCAAGTACACAGAAAACAGTGTCAACCTTGTTTTGCATGCACTCCATTCACAGCATGGCAAACACCAAAACTAATTTTTCCTAGGAAATTCTGATTAATAATTTAAGATGCTCCCTGCACACTTTGTGTTAAAAACTCCAGTAAGACACCATCTGCCTCATTTACAAAAAAGCAGTCAAAGCTTTTTATACTTTTTGTTCTAACAGAAAACTTTTCTGGAGAAAAAAACCCAAACATCTGTGTAAAATCAGATGCTGGGCCCTATCCCAGACATTTTGAGTCAGGTCTGTCTCTGTATATTATGTGTAGGAGTTGGAAGCACCCAAATAGTCTACATTTTAAAACCCCCAGATGATTTGTGAGCCAGTCCAAAAGCTAGGATTTACGAATTTCTACTGCAGAGCGGAAGATGCATCTGATTTATCTTGTTTGCCTTGCTGGGGTTCAGTATAGTAAAATCTTAATAAATAATGAATTCCCATTAACTGTGTCCTTCAAGTATGTTCCACAATCCTACAATAACACTAATATGATGCCTGCACCCTCCTATCTATCCACACTCAAACGTAAGGTTGTTCTCAAAACCTGTAACTGCACATTTAATTAGGTTATTTTCATTGCTGGAAAATCTTCACATTGTATCTATTATAGGTATCATGAAATCTATAAATACAGACTAGTAATTATATGTTTTCCTTTGATGTATTCGAATAAACGTCTTAATTTAACTACAATCTAAGGGTCTACACTATAAATTAAAAGTTTAAAGTATACTCACACCAATCTTTTCTTCTATGAGTTGCCGAGCATAATCTATCTGTTGTGGAGTGCCACGAATTGTAAATAACTTCATATTAGGATCTGCATTTGGTGGAGGATTTCTCTGAAGCTCTATTCTTGCACCAGACTGTTGGCTTATGCTTTTTATGGTTTCACCTCCTAAAATAAAAGACAGTAATTTCTCTAAAGGTTTCAAGGGTATACTAGAAGCTATTTAGAAGAAAATGGTCACAATTAAATGGGCCATTAAAAACATGGTTTGGTCAGTCAGTATTCTACTTGACAGTATTGTATTAAGATTTTTCATTTAATATTCTACACTTTAAATCAAATTTTAGGAAGCATTTCATGCTTCTCTTAAAATACATTTACATTTACTTAGTATGTTTAAACTTAACCTTAATGTGATTATAATAAAATATTTGAATAAACTGCTTTTAAAAGCAGTATAAATATAAACTAATACACTTATAAATATTCAAATTTTAAAAATATGAGTCAGGAAAAACCAAAATGCACAAACAAAAACACTCAAACAACTTTTTGGGTCAAAAGACCTTTCTTATGCTAATAATTATCTTAGTTCACTTTCTCTAGAAGCTAGTAAGATTAAAATCCTGCTCTTTTTATAAATATACATTAGATCCTTCATTTATGTTTTACTTGTTACGTATTAACATAAGAATGCTTTTCTACTAAAACACAGCCAGAGAAAAAGCATTGCCACTTGTTTACAACAGCAACAGAAATAGTGTCCAGAAAAATGAATAATGTGTTAAACATTAAGAGTTTAAAATACATTGCCTTTTCCTATTATTAATCCAGTTTTCCCAGTTGGCACAATAAAATTAAATTCCTGTAGTCCACCAGGTGGTCCCATGTTCCAGTTGCCTTGACCTCTACCTCTTCCTCGACCACCAGGTCCAGGTCCACCAGGATTACCAGCCTATAGAGAGGAATAGACAAGAAGGAAAAAAATCAGCACAGAAATACTTTTTTTCATAATAAAATTATTATGTCTATTTTTCCCAGCTCTCAAATACCTGAACCATAAATGTAGAGATGAACTGGCCCAAATAATCATAAGTAATAACATTTTTTTAAATTAAAGAGTAAATAAGGTAGCACTTAAGGTAGTAGTTCTTCCTGCTCCAAGATCTTTACCTTAAAACAATTTAAACTTTCTCCATTAATAAAGCATCATCAAGCAGACTCTGATATAGAGGAAACTTCAGATTTCATGAAGGAAAATATTTTTCCATAAAAACAAAAAATGAAAATGTTAACTTTCTATCAAACCTGAACACTTCGAAGAAGGTCTGTAATAATTTCTGCAGCATGTTGACATCGGTCTGGAGGTCCTGTTATTTGTGCTATCCTCTCAGGTGTTGTCCCATCATCTTCAAAACAAAGAAACAAAATTAATTAAACAATAAATGGGTGTGGCACCCAAGATGACCGAATAGGAACAGCTCCAGCCTCCAGCTCCCAGCATGAGCGACACAGAAGGGTGATTTCTGGATTTTCAACTGAGGTACCAAGTTCATCTCACTGGGGTGTGTTGGACAGTTGATGCTGGTCCGCGGGTGCAGCCCGACCAGCGAGAGCTGAAGCAGGGCGAGGCATCGCCTCACCTGGGAAGCAAAAGGGGGAAGGGAATTCCTTTTCCTAGCCAAGGGAAATTGAGACACACAACACCTGGAAAATCGGGTAACTCCCACCCTAATACTGCGCTTTACCAAGGGTCTTAGCAAACCGTACACCAGGAGATTATATCCCAGAGATCAAACTTCCCAGAGCTAAAGGAGGAACTACGTAACCAGCGCAAAGAAACTAAAAACTTTGAAAAAAGAATGGATGAATGGATAACTAGAATAATCAATGCAGAGAAGACCTTAAAAGAACTGATAAGAGATGAAAACCATGACACGAGAACTACGTGACAAATGCATAAGCTTCATTAACCGACTCGATTAACTGGAAGAAAGATTATCAGGGACTGAAGATCAAATGAATGAAATGAAGTGAGAAGAGAAATGTAGAGAAAAAAGAGTGAAAAGAAATGAAGAAAGCCTCCAAGAAATATGGTATTATGTGAAAAGACCAAATCTACATCTGACTGGTGTGCCTGAAAGTGAGGGGGAAAATGGAACCAAGTTGGAAAACACTCTTCAGGATATCCATCCAGGAGAACTTCCCCAACCTAGTAAGGCAGGCCAACATTCAAATTCAGGAAATACAGAGAACGCCACAAAGATACTCCTCAAGAAGAGCAACTCCAAGACACATAATTGTCAGATTCACCAAAGTTGAAATGAAGGAAAAAATGTTTAGGGCAGCCAGAGAGAAAGGTCGGGTAACCCACAAAGGGAAGCCCATCAGACTAACAGCGGATCTCTCGGCAGAAACTCTACAAGCCAGAAGAGAGTGGGGGCCAATATTCAACATTCTTTTTTTTTGAGACGGAGTCTCGCTCTGTCGCCCAGGCTGGAGTGCAGTGCCTGGATCTCAGCTCACTGCAAGCTCTGCCTCCCGGGTTTACACCATTCTCCTGCCTCAGCCTCCCGAGTAGCTGGGACTACAGGCGCCCACCACCTCGCCCGGCTAGTTTTTTGTATTTTTAGTAGAGACGAGGTTTCACCATGTTAGCCAGGATGGTCTCGATCTCTTGACCTTGTGATCCGCCCGTCTCGGCTTCCCAAAGTGCTGGGATTACAGGCTTGAGCCACCGCGCCCGGCCCCAACATTCTTAAAGAAAAGAATTTTCAACCCAGAATTTCATATCCAGCCAAACTAAGTTTCATAAGTGATGGAGAAATAAAATCCTTTACAGACAAGCAAATGCTTAGAGATTTTGTCACCACCAGACCTCCCCTACAAAAGATCCTGAAGGAAGCACTAAACATGGAAAGGAACAACCGGTACCAGCCATTGCAAAAATATGCCAAAATGTAAAGACCATTGAGGCTAGGAAGAAACTGCATCAACTAACGAGCAAAATAACCAGCTAATATCATAATGACAGGATCAAGTTCACACATAACAATAGTAACCTTAAATGTAAATGGACTAAATGCTCCAATTAAAAGACACAGACTGGCAAATTGGATAAAGAGTCAAGACCCATCAGTTTGCTGTATTCAGGAGATCCATCTCACAAGCAGAGATACACATAGGCTCAAAATAAAGGGATAGAGGAAGATCTACCAAGCAAATGGAAAACGGAAAAAAGAAGTGGTTGCAATCCTAGTCTCTGATAAAACAGACTTTAAACCATCAAAGATCAAAAGAGACAAAGATGGTCATTACATAATCGTAAAGGGATCAATTCATCAGGAAGAGCTAACTATCCTAAATATATACGCACCCAATACTGGAGCACCCAGATTCATAAAGCAAGTCCTTAGAGACTATCAAAGAGACTTGGACTCCAATACAATAATAACAGGAGACTTTAACACCCCGCTGTCAACATTAGACAGATCAACGAGACAGAAAGTTAACAAGGATATCCAGGAATTGAACTCAACTCTGCACCAAGGGGACCTAATAGACATCTACAGAACTCTCCACCCCAAATCAACAGAATATACATTTTTCTCAGCACCACATTGCACTTATTCCAAAACTGACCACGTAGTTAGAAGTAAAGCACTCCTCAGCAAATGTAAAATAACAGAAATTATAACAAACTGTCTCTCAGAGCACAGTGCAACCAAACTAGAACTCAGGACTAAGAAACTCAATCAAAACCGCTCAACTACATGGAAACTGAACAACCTGCTCCTGAATGACTACTGGGTACATAACAAAATGAAGGCAGAAATAAAGATGTTCTTTGAAACCAATGAGAACAAAGACACAACATACCAGAATCTCTGGGACACATTTAAAGCCGTGTGTAGAGGGAAATTTATAGCACTAAATGCCCACAAGAGAAAGCAGGAAAGATCTAAAATCGACACCCTAACATCACAATTAAAAGAACTAGAGAAGCAAGAGCAAACACATTCAAAAGCTGGCAGAATGTAACAAATAACTAAGATCAGAGCAGAACTGAAGGAGATAGAGACACAAAAAACCCTCCAAAATATCAATGAATCCAGGAGTTGGTTTTTTGGAAAAGAGCAACGAAACTGACATATCGCTAGCAAGACTAATAAAGAAGAAAAGAGAGAAGAATCAAATCGACGCAATAAAAAATGATAAAGGGGATATCACCACCGACCCCACAGAAATACAAACTACCATCAGAGAATACTATAAACACCTCTACGCAAATAAACTAGAAAACTTAGAAGAAATGGATAATTTCCTGGACACTTACACTCTCCCAAGACTAAACCAGGAAAAAGTTGAATCCCTGAATAGATCAATAGCAGGCTCTGAAATTGAGGCAATATTTAATAGCCTACCAACCAAAAAAAGTCCAAGACCAGACGGATTCACAGCCGAATTCTACCAGAGGTACAAGGAGGAGCTGGTACCATTCCTTCTGAAACTATTCCAACCAAGAGAAAAAGACAGAATCCTCCCTAACTCATTTTATGAGGACATCATCATCCTGATACCAAAGCCTGGCAGAGACACAACAAAAAAAGGGAATTTTAGACCAATATCCCTGATGAACATCGATGCAAAAATCCTCAATAAAATACTGGCAAACCGGATCCAGCAACACATCAAAAAGCTTATCCACCATGATCAAGTGGGCTTCATCCCTGGGATGCAAGGCTGGTTCAACATATGCAAATCAATGAACGTAATCCAGCATATAAACAGAACCAAAGACAAGAACCACGATTATCTCAACAGATGAAGAAAAGGCGTTTGATAAAATTCAGCAGCCCTTCATGCTAAAAACTCAATAAATTCGGCATTGATGGAATGTATCTCAAAATAGTAAGAGCTATTTATGACAAACCCAAGCCAATATCATACTGAATGGGCAAAAACTGGAAGCATTCCCTTTGAAAACTAGCACAAGACAGGGATGCCCTCTCTCATCACTCCTATTCAACATAGGGTTGGAAGTTCTGGCTAGGGCAATTAGGCAAGAGAAAGAAATCAAGGGTATTCAGTTAGGAAAAGAAGAAGTCAAATTGTCCCTGTTTGCAGATGACACGACTGTATATTTAGAAAACCCCATCGTCTCAGCCCAAAATCTCCTTAAGCTGATAAGCAACTTCAGCAAAGTCTCAGGACACAAAATCAATGTGCAAAAATCACAAGCATTCTTATACACCAGTAAAAGACAAACAGCCAGCCAAATCATGAATGAACTCCCTTTTGCAATAGCTTCAAAGAGAATAAAATACCTAGGAATCCAACTTACAAGGGATGTAAAGGACCTCTTCAAGGAGAACTACAAACCACTGCTCAGTGAAATAAAAGAGGACAGAAACAAATGGAACAACACACCGTGCTCATGGATAGGAAGAATCAATATTGTGAAAATGGCCATACTGCTAATTTATAGATTCAATGCCATCCCCATCAAGCTACCAATGACTTTCTTCACAGAATTGGAAAAAACTGCTTTAAAGTTCACATGGAACCAAAAAAGACCCTGCATTACCAAGACAATCCTAAGCCAAAAGAACAAAGCTGGAAGCATCACGCTACCTGACTTCAAACTATACTACAAGGCTACAGTAACCAAAACAGCATGGTACTGGTATCAAAACAGAGATACAGACCAATGGAACAGAACAGAGCCCTCAGAAATAATACTACACATCTACAGCCATCTGATCTTTGACAAATCTGACAAAACAAGAAATGGGGAAAGGATTCCCTATTTAATAAATGGTGCTGGGAAAACTGGCTAGCCATAAGTAGAAAGCTGAAACTGGATCCTTCCTTACTCCTTAAACGAAAATTAATTCAAGATTGATTAGAGACTTAAATGTTAAGACCTAAAACCATAAAAACTCTAGAAGAAAACCTAGGTAATACCATTCAGGACATAGGCATGGGCAAGGACTTCATGTCTAAAACACCAAAAGCAACGGCAACAAAAGCCAAAATTGACAAATGGCATCTAACTAAACTAAAGAGTTTCTGCACAGCAAAAGAAACTACCATCAGAGTGAACAGGCAACCTACAGAATGGGAGAAAATTTTTGCAATCTACTCATCTGACAAAGGGCTAATATCCGGAACCTACAAAGAACTCAAACAAATTTACAAAGAAAAAAGCAAACAATCCCATCAAAAAGTGGGCAAAGGATATGAACAGACGCTTCTCAAAAGAAGACATTCATACAGTCAACAGACACATGAAAAAATGCTCATCATCACTCGCCATCAGAGAAATGCAAATCAAAATCACAATGAGATACCATCTCTCACCAGCTAGAATGGCAATCATTAAAAAATCAGGAAACAACAGGTGCTGGAGAGGATGTGGAGAAATAGGAACACTTTTACACTGTTGGTGGGACTGTAAACTAGTTCAACCACTGTGGAAAACAGTGCGGCGATTCCTCAAGGATCTAGAACTAGAAATACCATTTCACCCAGCCATCCCATTACTGGGTATATACCCAAAGGATTATAAATCATGCTGCTATAAAGACACATGCACACGTATGTTTATTACAGCACTATTCACAATAGCAAAGACTTGGAATCAACCCAAATGTCCATCAGTGACAGACTCGATTAAGAAAATGTGGCACATATACACCATGGAATACTATGCAGCCATAAAAAAGGATGAGTTCGTGTCCTTTGCAGGGACATGGATGCAGCTGGAAACCATCATTCTCAGCAAACTATCGCAAGAACAGAAAACCAAACACCACATGTTCTCACTCATAGGTGGACACTGAACAATGAGATCACTTGGACACAGGAAGGAGAACATCACACACTGGGGCCTACTGTGAGGAGGGGACAGTGGAGAGGAATAGCATTAGGATATATATTTAATGTAAATGACGAGTTAATGGGTGCAGCACACCAACATGGCACATGTATACATATGTAACAAACCTGCACGTTGTGCACATGTACCCTAGAACTTAAATTAAAAAAAAAAAAACAATAATAAATGTATGTCAAAACTCATTGCTGCCAACACTTACAAGATTATTATATGCACTCACCTGGCTTAAACTGAATTCGAACACCAGCATCATTTTGTATTTTTTTGATCATCTCTCCGTTTCTTCCTATTACAATGCCAACAGCAAATCTTGGAATGGGGACCTTATGTAAAAAAGACTGAGTATTAAGAAAACTAGCTTCTCAGGGTTTAAAGTAAAAAAAAGTATTTAAAAAAAAGCACCATTTCCTGAAAATCTGCCTCAAATCATAATAGTACATATAATTTTATATTTATAGCAAATAGGGTGACAAGATATAAAATACTTAATTCTGTATTCTAAAGTATAAAGGTGAAATAAAAGGATAACAATGTTAGAGCTATTTAACACAAAACAGAAAACACTACTATATTTACGAATTAGCATACAACCATTTCTGAATGGGTATTTTTACTTACATCTATCCCTTCATTTCCTCCTATTCTTGACCCATACTCATTCCGAACTTCTCTGAAACCACCTTGATCACGAATTAACTCTAACACCATCTCCTTGGCTTGCTAAAGTAGAAAAAGTTAGCTAATTTAGAAAGCACGTCTCAAAACATTTTAATTATTCATGCATATTTTGCCCAACCCCATTCAACCCAAACTCTTTCTTTATAAAGTATAAAGTTAAGTTTACTTGAACTTTATATGGGTCTCCTGTAATCCTAAGAGGTTTGTCAGCACCAGTGTTTTGCGGCCCGTCTTGAATCATAACCATTTTAACTCCCGCCCGTTCCTGTTATAATCATAGAAATAATACATATTAACAAAAGGGAGCGGACAAAAATGGGCATCAAAACAGACCAAAAGTAGCCATTTCACAAACATAACAATACCTGAAGCTGTTTAATAGTTTCTCCCCCCTTTCCAATGACTAATCCTGCCTTGCTAGCAGGAATCATGATTTCTTGAACTGCATTTCCCGGTCCATCGCCATGATGGAAGCCAGGAGCTGGTCTTCCTTTTTCAACAATCTGGTCCAGTAACCGTTTTGCTGACCTGTTAACAAATTAATATTTAAATAGTAAGTTGTAGCATACCCAAGTTTATTCAAATAGAGAAATACAAAACAATGTAACCAAGTACTCCTCCTACCCCAATTCAGGATTAGGTGCCTTAATGCTAACTTTAACAATGTTTTTACTTTTAACTGAAAGAAAATGCCATCAAGGGACAAAGATTGAGAGATTAGGCAATAAATTTTCTAGATATACAATTTTTATTTTTAAGAATAGTCCAAAATTTCCAAGAACTCTAATGCTAAAGTTATCTCAGAATTAAACTGATTCTTCCAAGAACTAAAAGATTTATTTATTTACATTTTTAAACTACCATTTTACTTACTCATATGCTACAATTATTCATTCAACAAATACTTAAATATCAACCATGTGCAAGTGCCATTTTAGGTAATGGGGTGGTAACACTCAAAGAGACAGGGTTCCTGCTGGAGTGGCTTCGTTTCATTAAAATAAGTAAAAATAACATGTCAAATGAATAACGTATTATTTGGAAAGTGCTACAAAGAAAATCAGGCTGGGGGCAGTGGCTCACGCCTATAATCCCAGGACTTGGGGAGGCCGAGGCGGGTGGATAACGAGGTCAAGACATTGACACCATCCTGGCCAACATGGTGAAACCCTGTCTCTACTAAAAAAATACAAAAATTAGCTGGGTGTGGTGGCATGCACCTGCAGTCCCAGCTACTTGGGAGGCTGAGGCAGGAGAATCCTTTGAACTCGGGAGGCGGAGGTTGCAGTGAGCCAAGATTGTGCCCCGGCACTCCAGCCTGGCAACAGAGTGAGACTTCATCTCAAAAAATAGAAAAGAAAAAATCTAGTAAAGGGGGGTAACTAATAACGCAGAAGAAAGTACAACTGCAGGCTGAACCTTCAATAGGAAGAAAGGGCTGGCTTTAGGCACATGAACACAAAGGAAAGCAATTACTTGAGTACTATGTGAACAGAGAAAAAAAATGAAGGCTGGTAGGTTTAGCGGTAGGGGAAAAGAAAAGCTTCTTATCATTCGTTTCCATTTTCTCCGTAAATAAGCTTAAGAAGGAGAGAGGTGGGGTTAGATGCTGAAGATTTGGAGATGGGGAAATATAGTATTAAAGAGCCTTGGAGAGGAATGGAAAAGTGAATGGAACTAGGGAAATGCAGACAACACAACAGTCCACTTGAGCTTAATGTCTGAGTTTTAGGTGTCACCAGTCAACATTACTGCGCATTCTCCTCCAGGCTACACTTCGCTTTGCAAGTAGAGACTGGAGTAGATATGAAGTTGTTTTAACCATTTTCTGTGTTTAATGATAAACCCTAATTGAGAAAGGCATGAGGCATAAACTTCAAAGGAGTCAGAGGACTTGGGAGGGAAGGAGGCAACGAAAGAGTAGTGTAAAATAAAGCAGTAACAAAGAGCAGAGAGAAAATTCAAAGAGTTCTCCCGTTGTTACTTTAAGTCCATTTTAAAGATTTTCAAACTTACTGGACAGATTCAGGTGTTCCAGTTAACATACAGGACCTTTCTGGAAGGCCACCACTGTCTACAATTTAAAACAAAAATAGAACTTCAGGTCAAAAGATTAAAGGCAGCATTATTAGTACTAGAAACCTAAAAGAAAAAAAAAAAAGCTACTTTTCTAGTCACTCTGAAAATACCAAGAGAATGTAACATTACCAGGAGCTATCTGTATTTTGCATCCAGATTCCTGTTGTATGCGTGAGATCTGTTCACCTCCTCTGCCAATTACTAGTTAGAAAAAAAAAAGTTTTTTTGGTTGAAAGATTCTAAAGTATGTTTTGATCATGTTTTCAAAACTTTAAAAATCAAGTTACTTACTAAATCCAACCATTCCATCTGGAACTTTGTATTCTTCTGTCATTACAGATCTGCTAAAAAGTAACAGAAAGTACCATTTTTCCTTCAGTGAAAGATACTTTGTTTACAAATAAAAGATAATCTATTAATAAAAATGGAAGTCTAATGTCTCCCAATGGCTTAAACTAAGGTTCTATGCTCAGACTCATGTCAAAAAATATGGTCTTATTACTTGAGTAGTTAAATTAAGAATTTTAAGATGATACATCAAGTGAAGAAGGGATGATCAATGGAACAGTCTGAAGGCATGAACTGTAAAGGAGTTGGAGTGGAGTTTAGAGAATGTCATCTTAACAGTTACTCTAATTCACCCCTGTTCTTCTAAACTGTGGCTAATTCCCTCTCTCTCTCCAAATCACAAATTTTTCTCACTCAAAAGAAAAATCATCACTTTATGGTACCTTCCCAAGGGGAGTGATATGAACTAGGTACACCAAAAAATACAGACACATATTCAATATATACCAATGTGGTTGTGTTTTTACATGCAGCTCAACCAAAACTTGCAGAGTACTTTTTGAAAAGTTTGTGACTATACCTTTGCTGCTGATGCATCGGTGGTAACTGTGTTCCAAAAGCTATCAAAAAATTAAATAAAAATAAAACGAAAATTCAAAATTTAAAGTTACTTATGTATTTAACAACAAAATCACATCAAACATTCAAAAATCTTTCCCTAATGCACAGACAACACCTTGAAGAGAGTCAAATTTTATACAGAATATTTATATTGGCACTGACAGGGGTAAGAGAGCCAATGAAAGGGAAGACATTATATTAGCAATGGCACAGAACAATATAATTTCCTTTTTCAAGTTGTACAAGCATAGATCAAGAATTGGAGTTGTTAAATATGTAAAATAATTCGGCAACCAATCCTTACATATACCTGGCCACAATTAATGGGACAGATTGTAAAATAGGAGAAAAAGGTACATATTTACAAAGAAGTTCAGGCTAGCTGATCCAAAATACTCATAAACCAACTAACTTCAAAGATACCCGATAATATGAACAAAATCTTAATATAGCTTTTGACCCAGTTTAAAAGGAATACTTACAGTCATTTTGAGGAGCAACTTTCTTAGCATCTGGTTGATCTGCAAAATTAAGTGTCTTTTAATTTTTTTCCAATTAAGTACAAAGCTTCTCCCCTCCCAAACAAGAATAAATATAAACATTTATTGAAATATCTGAAGGTATGGTTTATCATTTGAACCAAAACTGCCAAAATTCAACACAAACTCAGTAATCTAAAAAAGAAACTATACTTCATTCTCTTCACATTCAAAAGATGCACAGACATTAAAATAGTTATCTGATTCTTAACAAATCACTGACCTTAATGTATGTTATGCACATTAGAATGATACAAGACAAAGTACTTTAGGTCCATTACTAGCAAAATATCACATGCTAAAGGCTAATGATGCTTCCACCTCAGGAACTGAAGACTGGGGGGAAAAAAGCGTATCAAACTACAAAAATCTGACATATTAAAAGTTGAGTATATCGGACAGTGACCACAAAGCTATGCCCCAAAAAATTAAAAAAAAAAACAAACCCCACAACATTACAAGGCAATCTCAACTTAAACTGTTCTACTATTTATAAACAAACATTTCACTGTATAAAACTTTAGCAAAAAAAACACAAAAAACAAAAAAACTCAAGGCAACTACATGACTACCTTCATCTAAATCCATTACACAGATGAATACAATGCATACCTTGGAACAGACAACCTATAGCTCAAAGTACTACATTCTCCTCCCCCCTTCAAACTTAAATGATTAACCATCAGAATGTTGTGCAGCAAAAATTCAGACACACAATCCAAGAAATATTTGTGTCCATTTAAGAATCCACTGGTTTATTTCACGTTTACATACTGAACACAGGTAATAAATAAAAATTCCTGCCTTTAAAAGGAGAGGGCATTCCCTCCCAGTGTGTTGTACTGCTCGGACTTGTCCAAGAGCCATCTACACATAAAATAAAAAGAATACATTACATACAACATCTGAAGCATCATTAGCTCATTTTTTTTTTTATATTAAAAACCTCACTATAAATATGAAAGACACTTAAATAAAGGAAACAAAGTTCTCCTGGTCAAAAGCTACAAATACATTCTATAGCCTCAGTGAGAATCCTTCCTTTAAAAAAAAGGGTAAAAAGAAAATGTATCAAAACTCATACATCAAACCTAAAACAAAAAATACATGCAGACTTCTAAGTTCAGAAGCTTCAATGATTATGATTTTTAAAACTACAAAGCACTGTGAACCCACTGTTTTAATCTATAGGTTTACAGCTAAACGTGAAACACAAAAGTACTAAAAGCAAAGAACATTAAAAAAAACGGTATAACCTGCAACACACTAGAGTAGCAAACAATACGAATTTCGACCTTTAAAGTGTAATTGCAAATAGAAAAATGACGAAAACACAGCATATTAAAATCCATTCATGTATGAGTAAAACCAGTGAAGTGTCTTCTAAGCAATTTATATTTTTGTTTTTTTAATATTATTAACAAGACGTCTGTGCAAACTTTCAATCTGGCACAATCCTAAAAGAGGGAAAATAAACTGTTTTCTAGTAAGACAAAACTTTCTGGTTGACTGAAATTTTACTTACCTTCTCTAGGTCTCTTCCCCCCCTTTAGGCCAATATACACCTTACAGTTTTAACAATCTTATAATAAAAGTAATGTCTCAATAGAATAACAAAAAAATACTGAGAACCACTTCAACTAAACACTCTGAAAAACAATTTAAAATACGTATGAGTATAACTTACCTCCATCTTCTAAAGGTCTTTTTTGTCCCCCGTAACCATAGTCATTTGAATTCAGTGATGTCCCAGCATCACCTCCAATTTTTGCTGCAATCTAAAAAAAAAAAAACAGAAAAATATAATCACAAACTACTATATACTATTCATTACTAAACTCCCATTTACTTCTAATACATGTATATATGAAATACTTAGTATCACATAAGAAAATTTACTTGAAAAATTAAAATTATAGTTCAATTTGTTGCTAAAATTAATACTTCAGGCAGTTAACATAATAATCATGAGTTTATTAAGCTTCTGATACATCCCTATAAGAAGCAACAAAGAAATAATCAACTAGGAATCCGTAAGACAGACCAAACAGATATAAAGAAAATCTGGACCCTATCTGGCTCTCTCTCATGACACTTCAAAAGATGTGTGTAAACAGAGAATGTGAACACTTTGTGGGACCCAAAGGCTATGCTATCTAGCAAGGTAGCCACTAGCCCATATGTGGTTACTGAGTACTCAAAATGTGACTAGTCTGAAATGACACTTGCTCTAAGTGTAAAATTACTCACTGAATATTGAAAACCTGGAATAGAAATCATCTTAATTTTTTATATTAAGCACATGCAAAAGGGGTAATATTTTGGATATGCTGGGTTAAACAAAACGTGGCTTACATTGTACTTCTACTGGACAATGTTGTTCTAAGGATATATGCAGGAGCCCCAGGAGCTCAAGTCTTAAAAAACCCCAGCTGCGAAACCATAATTCTCTTAGAATATTTTTAACTTTCAGAGTAGGGCAAATAATTTCTTGCACCTGACTGAACAAATTTAAGAAATACCCAGCTTTGCTGGCATGGTGGCTCATGCCTGTAATCTTAGTACTTTGGGAGGTGGAGGTGGGTAGACTGCTTGAGCTCAGGAGTTCGAGAGCAGCCTGGGCAACATGATGAAGCTCTATCTCTACTATATACAAAAATTAGCTAGGTATTGTAGTGCACGCCCATAGTCCCAGCTACTCGGGAGGCTGAGGCAAGAGAATCACTTGAACCCAGGAGCTGGAGGTTGCAGTGCACTGATATCATGCCATTGCACTGTAGCTTGGGTGACAGAGCAAGACTGTAAAAAAAAAAAAAAAAAAAAAAAGAAAAACAACAACAACCTGGCTTCAAGTCACAAGTAGGGCACAATCAGTAGATATTTATTGAATTTTTCTGTAAAAAGAGAACTGAAGTAGCTCCCATTTCCATGGGGAACCATGGAGTGGTTCTGCCACATTGATGAGTGGTCAGCAATAGGCCAAGCTCCACACTGCAATGCTGTACATTCATTATTGAAGATGTGTGATGGGCTCATGAGAATTTATTACATAATTCTTTCAATTTTGAGTATATTTGAAAACTTCCATGAAAAAATATTAAAGAAAACCTAACTTTTGGTGACTGGGATTCCCCAAAGAGATCCCAATATGGATAACTGCTTCAAGTTTTGATTATCATCAGACAACTGGAGAGGGTAAATTTATAGTTAAGTGCTTAAGTCACAAATTCAACATGGATTGCTTAAGTCTAATTACGTATCAGTTCCCATATACCAACTGTATTTCCTAGGACTCCTAGATTTCCCTTTCCTCATCTAAAAATGCAAACACCCACCACAAAGAATATTAGGATCAAGAACTAGATTGCTCGATTAAAAAAAGGTACACTCTCAGGTGGACACAGTGGCTCACGCCTGTAATCCCAGCATTTTGGGAGGCCAAGGCAGGCAGATCGCCTGAGGTCAAGAGTTCGAGACCAGCCTGACCAACATGGAGAAACTCAGTCTCTACTAAAAACACACAAAAAATGGCTGAGCATGGTGACACATGCCTCGCAGCTACTCAGGAGGCTCAGGTGGGAGAACTGTTTGAACCCAGGAAGTGGAGGTTGCAGCTAGCCGAGATCACGCCACTGCACTCCAGCCTCAGCAACGGCATGAGACACTGTCTCAAAAAAAAAAAAAAAAAAAGAAAAAAGAAAACTCTAGCTTTGGTCAATCTAACCTTCTTTAACCATCTTTCACTTTACCAATTACAAACCTGTTTTTGTTTCTGGGTGTCTAATTAAAATCTTATTTTCCTAATAATGCCTGAAAACACTGCTTTTCCACCCTTAGGTCTTAAAGCACTTAGCATTTGAATTGTTCCTCAGGAAAGTAAATACACTGCTGGGCACTGACAGACACTAATAGTAGAGGGAAAGTATTTCAGGCCAGAGAAAATGGTGCTACCAAGAATAGGAAACGGTTTAGCCTATGAACACCTTCTGCAGTTAGCTTTTATAAATACTCTATGAGTTTGCAAAGTAGCACTCCTTGAACTCCAAGAAACTTCTATACAGAGAAAAGACATTTATACAACCTTACCCACTGAATAGTTCAAAAACTAACCAAATGAAAATGAAAGTTGAGGCTGGGCGCTGTTGCTCATGCCTGTAATCCCAGCACTTTGGGAGGCTGAGGTGGGTGGATCACCTGACGTCTGGAGTTCGAGACCAGCCTGACCAACATGGTGAAACCCCCATCTCTACAAAAAATACAAAAAAAAAAAAAAAAAAGTAGCTGGGCACGGTGTCACGTGCCCGTTAATTCCAGCTACTCTGGAGGCTGAGGCAGGAGAATCACTTGAACCTGGGAGGCGGAGGTCACAGTGAGCCGAGATCCCACCACTACACTCCAGCCTGGGTGACAGAGCGAGATTCCGTCTCAAAAAAGAAAGAAAAAAAAAAAAGAAAATGAAAGTTGACAGTTTACTCTAAAGAATGAGTAACACCATTTCAAAAATTGAGAACTGTTACAAAGACATTAGAGAAAAGCTTTTAATAAAAATACCAATAAAGGAGCCTGGCTCAGTGGCACCTGCAATCCCAGTTACTTCAGAAGCTGAGGTGGGAGACCTGGTTGAGGCCAGGAGTTCAACATTAATACAGTAAGACCCCATCTCTTTAAAAAAAAATTGAAAAAACAAAATGAACTATAGATTTGATCAATTTTCTAAGATCAACAGAAAATATACAATTCCTAGGTGACTACAAGGATAATTAATTTAAGAAAAATAATTCCTAAAAACCAACCTCCAACTATATTCAACTCCTTTTTCAGAGTCCTAGAACATATTCAATTTTTATTAGACATTTATCAAGTATGGGAAACTTTTTACTTTACTTACTATTATATTTTTTGAGTCTCACAATGTTGCCCAGGCTGGAGTGCAGTGGCGTGATCTGGGCTCACTGCAATGTCCACACCCCAGGTTCAAGCGATTCTCCCACCTCAGCCTCCCAAGTAGCCGGGACTACAGGTGCCCGCCACCATGCCTGACTAATTTTTGTATTTTTAGTAGAGACAGGGTTTCACCTTGTTGGCCAGGCTGGTCTTGAATTCCTGACCTCAAGTGATCCACCCGCCTCAGCCTCCCAAAGTGCTGAGATTACAGGCGTGAGCCACGGTGCCTGGCTACTTTAGTTTAGTTTTACAAAAATAATTCAAATTTTCCATCTGGACCATAATCGACTTCTTGAATGAGTAAGTTATTTTTCCTGTTTTCACTGTTTTAGCATTTCTCACCTCTACTGAGGAAGCCAAGACGTGAGAAATCCAAGAATTTGGGAGTTGAAAAGAAACTTAAGACACAGTATCTTCAGTTTTTGCTCTCCACGGTTGCAGTCACCTACGGTATAGTACAATCAGATATTCTGGGGTAGGGGAGGATCCCCTTATTCATATAACTTATTACAGCATATTGGTTTTTTAAAAATTTGCCCTTCTTGTCAGTAATACAGTGTATTGTTGTAATTGTTCTATTTCATTTTTTAAATTAAATTAAAATTTTGAGACAGGGTCAGGCTGTTGCCCAAGGCTGTAGTGCAGTGGCATGATCAGGGCTCACTTACGCAACTACGTAAAGGACCCAACATTGTCAACATTGTAAACTTGACCTCCCAAGTTCAAGCACTCCTCCCACCTCAGCCTCCTGGGTAGCTGGTACTACAGGCATGCACCACCAGGTCTGGCTAATTTTTTGGTATTTTTTTATAGAAACAAGGTTTCACCATGTTGCCTAGGGTGGTCTCGGATTCCTGGGTTCAAACAAACTTCCTGACTGAGCTTCTCAAAACACTAGGATTACAGACATGAGCCACCTTGGCTGGCTGATTTCTTTTTCAAGACAACGTCATAGTTAAAAGTTAAGTGTTAAGATTATAGGCGTGAACCACTATGCCCAGTCTTTTTCTAATTTATTATTATTGTTAATACTATGTCTAATTTAGAATTTAAACTTTATAGATACACATGTATAGGAAAAAATATTACCGTGTATATATCGGATTCAATACTATATGTGGTTTCAGATATTCACTGAGGTTCTTGGAATGTATCCTCCGAGGTTAAGAACAGACTACTGTAGTTTACTTAATTAACTTCTGAGGATCAGAAAATCTCTAAAATCAGGTGGTATGACCAACTATAGTCCCTCAGTGTCCCTGAGGGATTGGTTCCAGGAACCATACAAATACCAAAATCCACAGATGCTCAAGTTCCTTACACAAAATGGTACAGTATCTGCATACAACCTATGCAAATCCTTTGGTATACTTAAAACATCTCTAAATTACTTATAATACCTGATACAATGTACATAGTTGTATTGTTTTCATTCGTATTACTTGTATTGTTGGACTGTCATTCCATTTTTCTAATATTTTTGATCCACAGTTGGCTGAATTTGCAGATGCAGAGCCCACAGATACAGAGGTCTGACTTGTACTTTAATTCATCAAAAATGTTTATTGATTTAATTCAGTAAATGCTGAGTACCTACTATAGGCAAAGTCCTGATGGAGTTAGAGTTCCCATATACCAGACATGTGAAGAAACGTGCACACTAGAAATATTACCATACCATAATTTGCTTATCAGTCAAGCCCTGCTAAACTGTCACAAAATGATTTTTAAAAAGAATCATGCTTAAATGTTAGTTTTCACTGAACAGACTGATGGTAATAAAAAAAAAAAACAAACCAAAAACAGCTCTAGTCTGTATTTTCATTTCATTCAAACAACATTATGCAGCCTGAATCACTTTTATAATTGTCAGAGAAGAGACTGCAAGAAGGATCGAATACATACTGACTAATTTCATAGTTGTCTAGAGGGGAAGGGATGAGGGTTAACAGTTTTGCTTAGCTAATCATCTAGTCTGATTCATTTCTACCTTCATATAACCTCAAGGGAAAAAACGGTAGATAAATACATTTTAATTTTCCAATGTTCTAGAGACAGAAGTTGCTATTAGTATCACTGCTAAGGACCCAATCAAACAATCCCAATCTCTGGAGTTACAGCTTGAAATACATAAAAATAAATTTCTTAAGTGCACAGGCTGGAAACCATGAACAAAAGCAGCAACCTGGTGTCCCTGTGTTGAATTGAGCTCAGAATACTATAAAAATCTAAGACTTTCACATAAAAATAAGCTAGAAAAAAAAAAAAAAGGATTGGCAACTAAATGACCAGATGTCAACAACCAGCTAGAGTTAACATTACTGACATTACCAAGTACGGACCAGGAATCAAAATTACTTGTCCTGCTTTTCTGAATAACAACTATCCAGCTAAATATACCAATGGCATCCCCACTGGTACAGCCTTTGAAGCTCCTTGAGAGCAGCAAACTGTTCTTATATCTCTTCCTTCCAAAAACAAAAACAGCATAGTATTCTAGACAAAGAAAATAAACTTAGAGTTAGTTGAGGATTCTAGAAACCTAACTCAATATTCTCTTAAATACACAAGGAGGAAGTAGTTCAGATGTTAACCTAACTTCTGTCTAAATACCCTTCTGTATATTCCACACATATTATCAGACTAATAGCTACAACTGACATTTAAAGACATCATCAAATGTAATGGGTAATTCTAGTTAAAAGCCAAAGTTAGGAATCTCAGATTTAAGATCATTTTCATAAAGAAATCATTACAGTAAAGACAGAACAACTGACCTATTAGCATATAAGACAATAAATTTCAGTTTGATGGCAATTTCTGTATTTTAAAAAGTAGAAAGAAATTATGGCTTAGCCTAATAATAAAACCTTTTTTTTTTTTTTTTTTTTTTTGAGACAGGGTCTCGCTCTATGCCCAGGCTGGAGTGCAGCAGCATGATCTCCACTCACTGCTACCTCCACTTTCCAGGTTCAGGCAATTCTTGTGCCTCAGCCTCCCAAGTAGCTGGAACTACAGGCACAGGCCACCAAGCCCGGCTACCTTTTGTATTTTTTGTAGAGATGGGGTTTCACCATGTTGGCCAGGCTGGTCTTAAACCCCGACTTCAAGTGATCTGTCTGCCTCAGCCTCCCAAAGTGCTGGGATTACAGGCATGAGCCACCGAACCCGGCCCGAAATCCAATTTTTCATTAAAGCATTGCAACACAAAGTCTTCCAGTATCTGGATCCGCTTGTACCTTTCCTTGCCTTGTTTCACGTCCTCCCACCACCATCTTCTAGTGACTTCAATTCTGGGTTCTTGTCATTCCCCCACGTCCCATACCTCTGCGCATGCTGCTTCTTTTCCCTACTGGCCAAACTCTCATTTATTCTATAATGCCTTGCTCAAATATCACTCCTTTACTTAGGAAGCTGGGTATCCCCTCCCAACTTGTGTCCCGTACAAGGTGCCTGCCTCATAGTAGAAACTCTATAAACACTTATAAAATGAGCAGATGAATTAAATACCCGTATTTTGTCTGCTCTCGTTAATCAATTTATCAGATAATCCTGTTCATCTGCATTTGGTCAAGGAACTATATCATAGCTTCTTAGTAGGAAACAATTCATGCATTTAAACAACAACAAAAAAAAAGGCCGGGCTCACTGCTGTAATCGCAGCACTTTGGGAGGCCAAGGCGGGCGGATCACGAGGTCAGGAGTTCGAGACCAGCCTGGCGAGCATGGTGAAACCCTGTCTCTACTCAAAAAACAAAAACAAAAACAAAAAATTAGCCGGGCACGGTGGCGGGCGCCTGTAATTCCAGCCACTCGGGAGGCTGAGGCAGGAGAACTGCTTGAAGCCGGAGGCGGAGGTTGCAGTGGGACGAGATCGCACCACGCTACTCCAATCCAGCCTGGGCGACAGAGGGAGACTCCGTCTCAAACAAAACAAAACAAAACTCCAGTATCTACCTACAGTGTTTGATACTAAGTAATCCAATGTGCTGGTTCTGGTAAAATAAAATAGTTGGTTCCAATAAATACAATAGTTAAGTTTTACAAATCAATCTAATAAAACGCGCTAACAGTGTTTGTCATAGTTATACAAATGCTTGCTGCTAAACATGTTCAGAATTTCTTAAATTATGTGAAAAAACCGCAGAACTAATATTAATGATAACCTTTTGTTGACTACCTCTAATATCTCTGGTTATAAACAAGTACAGGTACATGTTGATAATGTGTTCACATTAGGTATGTTACAACGGATTTTATGAATTCTGATTTTGACTCAATGTTCCTTTAACTGTACCGGTAAAAGTTAAGTGAACTCCTAATGCAATGAAAACACAGCACAACACTGGTTTCTAACTACCATTAGCTTAACACTAGTAAAAAATGTCCAGCACCTAGTACAATATGCATAGTGTCATAGAGAATAGAATTCTTTTGCTTACATGCAAATCCATACCAACACCATACATTTTGAAATTTTAAATATATTAGGGGACTATCTAAAAATGTAAAGTTCAAATTAAGAAATCTTCTATTTTCCTGGAATACTCGCACTATTTTAACAGCTTTCGTCTGGGAAAGTGGTGTCTTCAGGGCAAATGTACGCACTACGTAATACAAAGAGGTCTGGTCAGTTTACGACTCTTAACAGAGAGGCAGATTCAAATTGAAACCTCTGGTATAATGGGCCTGAGGCCATTTTGAGAAATAAGGGGGACTGACTGTTAGAACAGACTGACGCGTAAATCCCGCCCAGAAAAAGACGGCTTTCAAGTCCCTTCCTTGTAGAGGTGAGAAGGTGAAAGGTACCGAAAGCGGTTTTAATTGCGAGAGGGAACGGAAATGAGCTGTAAAGGCTACTTTAACGACAAATCCCTTCCCTTGCTATGGCTCCAGGAGACCGACCCTAGTTCTTTCCCAAACTGATTACCAGAACCTTCCATTAAATTGTGTGAAACTACCTGCGCTTTATCCCCTGGAAGAGGATCTTCATCTCGAGGAAAAGGGGAGGCTAAGCTAGCTCGCTGGCGACACACGAGTGCCGCAGAAGCGGGAGAAAGACTTCAGGCCTTTGCGTAGCACGCGTCGGGGTTCTAAGTGGATTACACACCAAGAACACAAAACTGAGTTCTGGTCTCTAATCTTTATTACCAACAAGGGGAAACGTGTCTCCTCACATTTCAGCCCGGAAGGACACCTCTTTCCTCTTCCTCATGCGCTAAAGGGTAGCGGCCTACTCAGTCAGCGGCCAATTACCGTGAGCTTTCGGGATTCCGCCGCGCGGTCCACACTTACCTGCCGGGCTCTCTGCAGTGCATCTTTGAAAGCGTCGTTAACTCCTCCACCACCACCGCCGCCACCGCCGCCACCAGCTGAGCCAGAAGACGGTGGAGGCACTGTTGAATAGTCTGCCATGGTTACACTACGCTAGCCGCTGCCGCCCGTTCAGAGACTTCCTCTCAGCTAACAGCTAAGAAAGAAAGAAAATGGCGGCCGTCGAAGCTGTATCACATTCTTGCGCGACCATCGTGCCGTAAAGGGGTGGAGACTGAAGGAACGAAATCTCGCGATGTTTCCGGGCAACGCGCTAGTGTGGGGCTAAGGCTGAGAAAGAACGACAGAAACAGAGACGTCGCGAGAATTAGGTTTAAGATTTCGCGAGAATAGGGTTTCTTTTGGCGCCTCCTCTCCGCGCGTTCTTGCGGTGAGGCTGGGTAATTGTTCCTGCAGGGTGGTGGGTGACAGTAGCCAGTTGACAGCGAGTGGGATTGGGTGGTGGGAATCCTGAAGAAAGGGTTGTTTCTTACCGGTCGCTGCCTCAGGGAGGTAGTGCGGTAGAATTTTCCGCCATGGGTCATTCTCGGTGTCCGCGGGGAAGGGCGTGACAGCGACTGGCGTGACGGCGACGCAACAGTGTCTCGAGAGCGCTGCCGCCCGGAGGGCGCCTGGAGAGAAGCGCTTGCGAGACGCCGCGCGGTGATGCTCCCGAAAACGTCTACCCGGCCTAGCGGGAACCCAGCATGATTTTCAGGGTAGTAAAGTGTCCCTGTATTTTACTTCCAGGCTGTCAGATTTTTGAGTTTTATCACGAGGGGGGTGTTGAATTCAGGCTGGAAGCCTGTTAGTTCTCGACCATATTTTAAGTTTTTGTTTAAAATAATGTAGATGAGGCTCTAAAAATATGGCTGCCCTTTTCTTTATCCAAAAACGTGATTGTTCTTAAAGTTCAGTGTTAGCCAAATTTAGTAACCTAGTATTTGTACGTGTCCATGGCCATTTTTGTTAAGGTTGTTTGTTTGTTTGTTTGTTTGTTTTGAGACAGAGTCTCGCTCTGTTGCCTCGGCTGGAGTGCAGTGGCGCGGACTCGGCTCACTGCAGCCTCCGCCTCCTGGGTTCAAGCGATTTTCCTACTTAAGCCTCCCGAGTACCTGGGACTACAGGCGCCCGCCACCACGTCCGGCTAATTTTTTGTATTTTTAGTAGAGACGGGGTTTCACCGTGTTAGTCAGGATGGTCTCGATCTCCTGACCTCGTGATCCACCCGCCTCAGCCTTCCAAAGTGCTGGGATTACAGGCGTGAGCCACTGCGCCCGGACTATTAAGGTCTTTTAAGAACAGCATTGTTTCTTGGCCAAAATAGATTTTGTAGCTTCTTAGGCGTAGTTTCTCCCACCCCAGCTTGTGGGTATTCAAATGTAAGGTAAACTTCTGAATTGTCATCACAGGACTAGGTATATGTGTGTGTGTGTGTAAATTGGTATTTTATCTTATGTACTTAAGTTACCAAGTAATTTCAGACATTTCTTCAGACTTTCTCCAACATATCGTGGCAGTTTACTGTGTTAATAGTAGTAAGTTCCAGGAATCGTTACGATACTTACTATTGAGTATATCACAGTGACTATTTTTCAAAATTATTTCTATTTAAATAACAAAGAATGAGGTAAAATGAACTTTCTCAACTTTGTGGCGTTTGTGGCATTATTTGGTTAGGTCTAAAAAAAATTCTTTTTCAGCAGCTCTTAAGAGTAATTGTGAGAAATACATGCTGCATTCTTTCTGAAAACCTAAAAGTAATGTGTTCATTTGCTCAAGCACCAAAATAGCGGTTAATATGCTTGTAGATACAGGTGAGCCATCATTTCCCTTTAATCAGCTTTTAATGCAGTCGTATTCATTTATATCTGTGACGATCTCTTTCAGTGTTCATGGCCATTCCTATAAATTTTGGTGGGATTTCCTTCTGAAAAATCAGTGCACGTATGGGACTACAGATCTAATCATAATATATAGAAAAACAGTAAAAGCAGTGTTGGGTGTATAGCTAAGTAGAAATTTTCCAGTTGTATTTTGAGAATGTCTTGATTTTTTCATATTTTATTAATTAGGCAATACAATCAGACCTTTGGATCAATGTAATTTACCACAGTGCTGTAATTTACCCTCAAAACAAATTTATGTATATCGCAATTTATTTTAGTTATCATTGAATATTGAAAAATATGTAAGGACCTCAATTTTTTTTTTTTTTTAATGCTCCCTCCGTGGCCCAGGCTGGAGTGCAGTGGCGCGATCTTGGCTCACTGAAACCTCGGCCCCCCCAGGTTCAAGAGATTCTCGCACCTCAGCCTCTGGAGTAGCTGGGATTACAGGTGTGCACCACCATGCCCGACTTATTTTTTTATGAGACAGAGTCTCGCCCTGTTGCCCAAACTGGAGTGCAGTGGCATGATCTCGGCTCACTGTAACCTCCACCTCCTGGCTTCAAGCAGTTCTTCTGTGTCAGCCTCCCGAGTAGCTGGGATGACAGGCACCCACCACTACGCCCAGCTAATTTTTGTATTTTTAGTAGAGACAGTGTTTCACCGTGTTGGCCAGGCTGGTCTCGAACTCTTGACCTTGTGATCCATCTTCGGCCTCCCAAAGTGCTGGGATTACAGGTATGAGCCACCGCACCCGGCCAGAATGAAATTCTTGATAGGTTAATCTTTTGGAAAAATTAATGCTTGAGATAAAGGTTCTTTGTGAAAACATAAATAAATTCTGCTTTTTAGGACCTCTTCAGTGAAGCTGGGAGGAATATTTGGGGGGTTGCTAAGGTGTCATTCCAAACTTTTTCAGTGTTCTTCAAATCTAATAAAAGAACAAACATCTTTACTGTATTATACAAAAGGCCTTTTTGAATATTAATGGAGTATTTGTTTGGTTACTCCACACATTCATTGCCAGGATCTGTCCTTTGACTATGATCATGGCAGACATAACAGGGCATCATAGGATATATAGAAAATAGATTATTAATTTTTAGAGAGAAATTTAGAGCTCTTCACCTCTTCTTTTAAGACGTAACACTCCCAGCTTCCTATTACTTTAATAATGTTAGATTGAAAGTTTGGGACTCCTGAAAGCATCTAAATTAAATAACTGGCCTTATCATCCAGTTCTTAATTGAGTTTAGCTTATTCCATAGCATACATTATAATAATTTATAATAAAGCTGCCATATACAAATATGCACTAATATACTTGTAATTTCCTGTAAATTGATCCTATACTTATTTCCAAGATGTTTCCAAATCTGTGTCTGCACAACTACCTACAAAACTTTGGTTTTGCATGTTGCCTCAAAAACAAAATGTCTAAAATTCACGTAGGTACTGTTCTTATTCTCCCTTTTTTTGTGGTCAAAACATTTATTGTTTCTTTTCCTATTGGATCATATATTTAGATAATCAGTTCTTCTATTACATTTATCTTTTTCATTAACCTTTAGCTAAATAAAAAAATCCCGATTAAAAATAGTCTTTTTTTATGAAACTTAACCTGACTAACCAATTGCAGTGACCTTTTATTTATTCAGTGGTTACCCACATCGGCTACAGGGAGCTTTTAAAAAATATGAAAGGTGGGCCGGGCGTGGTGCCTCACGCCTGTAATCCTAGCACTTTGGGAAGCCGAGGCGGGTGGATCACCTGAGGTCAGGAGTTCAAGACCAGCCTGGCCAACATGGTAAAACCCCGGCTCTACTAAAAATACATTAGTCGGGCATGGTGGCTGGTGCCTGCAATCCCAGCTACTCGGGAGGCTGAGGCAGGAGAATTGCCTGAACCCGGGAGGCCGAGCTTGTAGTGAGCGGAGATCGCACCACTGCACTCCATCCTAGGTGACAGACCAAGATTCTGTCTCAAAAAAAAGAAAGAAAGAAAGGTTAGCCCTAACTCCTGCTCCCAGAAACTGATTTAATTGGTCTATATTTGAATCCGTAAAAGCTTCCTGGGTTAATTAATCCTAAAGTGCAGACACATTTGAGAACCGCTGAAATGCACAAGTGTACAAGCTCTGGCTGACTTTTGCTTATTTTTAATGGGTTGCGGTTTGTTTCTAGTTAGGGGTATATAGTCTTGAGATGAATTCGGAGTCTAGAAACATCTTTTTTTAAGCTTTTAAAATAATTAAATGGGAAGTGATTAGACTGAGGTACCTCCAGTGCCCTGTCTTCCTACATAAGCAAACCAAAACCTAACTCAATGTAAACTGTCTTAACCAATCAGAAACTGCCCATTAATCTTTAACTAGAGACTTTTCACTGGATCAGTCCAAATCAGACTATTGCTCCACTTTAATCAAATGTTTTGCCATGTTTCTGCATTCATCCTATGAAAGTCCTTCCTATCCCTTCAGCCCTAAGCCGTTGAACTACTTTTAATTGGGACATGTCCTATTCACGAATCAATTGAAAGTTTTTCTTTTAACTGGACTAACTCAAACTTTTTGTTAGCTAGACTAAGGCAGAGTTTCTTAACAAAAAGGTCACCAGCATCATCAAGAGTGCTTTTTAGAAATGCAGATACCTTAGCCCTACCTGGACCTACTGAATCATGTTTTGGAGAATCTATATTTCTTTCTTTTTTTTTTTTTTAGAAAGTAAGCATCATAGTCGATTCTACTCATCAAGATTTGAAAACTACCCTTTTACACAAAACATATTTAATATTTGAGGAATTAAAGTGAATTAAATTTTGTTTCCCTGGCTAGATTGTAGTAAATGTTATGAATACAGAAATTTTGTCCTCTCCCTTTTCCCCTCTGTGTAAAAGAGGGCTGGTCAAGGACCGGGTCTTATTCTTTGGTTTGCCCAGTATGCTTTTATGTTGGTAAAAGTTAAATAAATATCAAGTTGAATTACTTATTCCACTTAACATTTTCCTATAAAGCTACATATGATTATGAATGTGGAGGGCCTTTAAGGCCAGATGGCACTGAAGGGTAGCTTCACACAAACTTTTCTTAGAATATCAGTCTTAGAAAGACCTTGAAGGTAATCTCGCCCATTTGTTTCATTTCATGTTAGAGGAAACTAACACAGATTGCTGAGTGCCTTCTACAAAGTGCCAAGATTAATTGCAGAGCCAAGACTAGATTCCTAATCCAGTGCTCTTTTATTTTGTGAAATATCTTCTATATGAAGCATCGGTGTTTGGGTTGGAGGTTTTCTGCTTCTTAGGTACAAGAGGAAGAAGAATCTGTACAGAACC